TTTGCATGACCTTAGGCCTAAGGTCTCATTAATGAATGGTTTGTCATATACCTTCAATATACCTGGCCTTAGGCCTAAGGTATAAATGACATATTGCAGACCTTAGGGGGGTTAGTTGAGAATGTAACTGAAAAAAGTTGAGAATGTGATCAAAGTAATTGGTCTATAATTCTCAACTTGTAATCTGTCAGACTTCTTATAAAGAGAAATGTTTCCAAGTTTCCAGAAACTGGGAAATTGGCCACATGCAAAAATTATATTAAACAATTTTGATAACTGGAAGGATAATGCTTCCTGGGCTATTTTTGTCATTCTGTTATTAATTTTGTCAAATCCACAAGCTTTATCACGATCAAGGGACTGGATTGTTTGATGAATTTCATCTGGATTGGTAGATAAATGGTCAATTGATATTCCAGTTCTATTTGGAAAATGTAGAAGTGCATCGTTATCCACTTGTTTTAATTTATGATATTTTGAAGAAAAAAAGTTAAGGAAGCACTCAGCTTTTTCACCCTCATTTGCAGCTATGTGATCTGAAAAATTGCACTTCAAACTAGGGAGTAAGGCATGAACAGTTCTGGATAGAAAAGAATTGACTTTGTTCCAGTATTGTTTTCCTTTACAGGTTGATTCATTTATCTGTTTTACAATATTTTCCTGGTAATTTAATTTTGCCTGTTTTATTAAGGATTTGACCTTTTCAGCTTGAGCAGTGTAGTTGTCAAAAATAGTTGTGTCATTTTTTGATTTGGTTTACCGATAAAGTCTTTCTTTCTTATTGATTTCGCATTTAATTTTTGAGTTCATCCAAGGTTGATCATTTGCATTTGTAATTGTTGTTTTTTGAGGAATGTATTTTGAAATATGTCAAAAATATGACATGAAATGCTTTCAGTTGTAACATTAATATCTCTATTACTTTGGCCTGGTCATATTTTCAAATAGTTTTCTTCAATTTGTGTCTCTTACTGAGTTTTAATGGAAGAGTGGTCAAAAAAGTAGAGTGGTCAGTATTACCAATAGGGTCAGAAACAACCAATTCCCTAATGAGAAAAGGCTTGTTTGTAATAGAAAGGTCAATGCAGGTTCTTGAGCTTCTTGTTATTCTGGTAGGCTCTTTTACTAATTGGATGAGATTTAAGTTTGATAAAATAGAGTCAAGTTTATTGTCTCTCGAGTCAGTAGTACCTCAAGGCCACCATTTTTGATGTTTGGAATTAAAGTCACCGTTTATAATTAGGTGTTCACATTTTATCTTGGATGCTTTGGAGAGATTTTCCCTTAGGTGGTCAAAATAAGCATTTTCCTCATTTACATTCATACTAGGAGAGCGATAATGTACACCAAATAGTATTGAAGTATTTCTGATTTTGATATTGACCCAAAGACTGTTTTAGTATTTAAATCTGGCATGGGAAAGTAGGTAAGGTCAGATTTAATGTATATCATGAGCCCTCTACCCCATTGATAAAAAAGGGGAGAGTGATAGTCAGGAAGTAAATAGTTTTCAGAAATAATCTTGTCATTCAAATTGCCTACTTCACAGAGTCCAGCTACCGCTACCCCATGTTTTCTTAATCGATGTTTAAAACTTTCAAACCTGATACCTTCCCCACTGCTTATGCTGTTAATGTTTGAGAAAAGGAACTTGAGATCATGCTGCATGGTACATGTAGAGTGAGGACCAGGATGAGTTTCAATGTCACCGGCCTGCAAGATTAAATCACTTTGGTCAAATGCGAAGACAGGATTTTATTTTTAGTTTTGCTTCGATCATAGCTTGACAAATAGTAATTCAATTTTAAATGTTCATTAATAAATGAGAGCCATACTTTCATTAATTAAAGTAAGAAATAAATCTTCGTAATGGATGAGTGACATCATTCGAGACGATTCCATGCAGCAGGGCGAGATTGTGAATTAAACAAAATTAAAGGAACTCATTTATTTTTTATTTCATTGAATGTCTTTATTTCATGGTGTATCCCAAACGCTCCTACATGCACGACGGAGCGTTTCATTCAATCGAAAACGCTGCGGAGTGAAATAAAATGGCGGCTAATTAAGATCCCTCGGTGGCCGTAAATATTGTTTTACTCGTTTCTCTTACATATCGAACGTTATGGTGGCATATTATGGACCACTGGATGAACAATACCCTGAGCAAAGATCTTATTTATTCAACTTCTGATGCTAAACTGTTATTTGCTTGATTAAAGCTCCATAGTTTAGATCAAACGAATCTGAAATTGACGAATTAAGCATAAATTACGAATTAAAGTAGTATTTATATGAAAACGTCAATCTTTCTGTTAACGTAGTAAATCACAAACTCGTATATTCTTACTTGTTGAAATTCCAGTTCAATTCTATTACTTGTTCTCAAGAAATCGCTTGTTTTCCTCGGATCGACGCTCCGTTGATCGATTGTGGACACAATTTAAAAACGCTCGTACCATTTTATTTTGATATTATTTTCAGATTATTAGAGAAGATTAAGGAATCGAACATATCTCTCCAAAACGTGTTGCACTTGTTGGGCAAATTGAAATTTCCAAATCTGGTGGTGCTACACGTCTTACACGTGCCGACTTAAGCTTACATTAGATGATGTTATGCCTACATGTGTGCTAAAGCATAAAACTTTAGCACACAATTGAAAAAATAACAAAACGCGTATACATAAATTAATCGTTCTTCTTTTGATGCCAAGTGACAGAAAAGATTTTATGAATTGTGATAACTATACTGTTTTATACAGCTCTTTCGAATAGATTCAAATGTCATAATGCAGCCGCCAAGTATAACATGAATATATATCACACCCATCGAATGGTTTACACGAATTAAGTTACACATTCCTCACGACGAAATCGTTCGACGGCTGATAATTTTTGCCCGCCTTTTTCAAACTCTAGAGCGTTTCGTCAGTAATGAAACGCTCCGTCGTGCATGTAAGAGCGTTTGGGTTATACACCGTGTATTTTATCATCTGTTTTTACGTACGTGTAGTTCGAGTGCAAGGAACCAATTCTTTCTTACCAACTTCTACTTTTTTGTTTTTTTCTGATTTTTACTGGACAACCCTTTATAAATGTACAACATATCGGATTGATCTCATAAGTCCCACCCCAACAAGGATTGAAAAAATGTCATACAATGACTCGTCTCTTGAAATGAAAAAGTCGTTTCTGAAAAGGAAATGACACATATACTTATTATGAACTATCTTCTAAAATTCCCACAGTTATACCATTACGGTAGTACGGAATGAGATAAATGTTCGCCAATGCATATTTTACAACAAAAACAAAGCACAAAAGTTAGGGTTCATGTTGTCAGAAAGCACTCATAGGGGTCATGCTTTCTATGACCAGATATAATATATATATATTCTATAATCAGTGTTATCGTTCTTACATGCCTCGAAAGAGATCCAAATCTTTTAAGATCAAGGGATATTTTCTCATAACTTTGTAGTACAATATCCTAGATGCGAGTAGAAATTATCTTGATTTACATCATTCAATATTCGAAATTCAGTCAAAGTGATGTCATATTTGGAATCTACATTTAAAATTACATCTATAAAATGTGGTTTCAAAGAGAGTTTATCAACCTTGAAATTTTAATTTTCTTTGAAAGTGTGATTTCTAGGTCGGGGAGATTTCCCATAGACCCCATGCTGTAAAACCACAAAAAGTGATATTTACTTTAACTGGACATATTTTGATTTGTATAACTATCAGATACATAAGGGCACTATGAAAAGTGAACCGATAAAACTGATGAATATTAAAGTTAAAGGGAATTTTTCAATACCCTGCCTTGTTATTTCCCCCCGAATCAGCCACCTAGTGGCGAAACTGGTAACTACCTACTCGCATATGGGTAATTGAGAAGGATATCTTAACAGATGGCAGAACTAAGCGATTGACAGATATTTCGGGCGAGTTTAAGACTCTATTTTCATGTAACTCTTCGACACATTCAATTTGTTGCTGTGCTTTTCCCATTTCCACTTAAGTGGGTACATATTTTTTGATTTCAAAATTCCGAGTTTTTATTTATAAAAACAGTATGATATCAGTAAATATAATATATATTTCTATTTGTCACTGCAATGCATTCGATCGATTCTTTGTTTACATGATTGCCGACATTTCACGTATTTATCACGGCTATACAAAAATAGTACGCGGGACATATGTAGGTATCTAAATATAAGGTTAAATATCACTGCGCATATATCATGTCACCAACTCCTTAATTAGATGTTCTAGAAATGTCATACCATGGACTAAATTGCCAAAGTGTAACAACATTAGCCGCAATTTGATGTATACACATTGTGAAATAATAGATTGGAGATGAAAAGGAAATTTTGTTACTTTTACATTTAAATCCATATCTCTGAATCAAGATTATTTAATCCAATTGGCCTGGATGATGACAAAAAAACAGAAAATAACCAGAACAATGTTGTTTATAAGTGAGAAAATGCTCATCTCGTTTTGACATAGTTTCTGTTGTTTGGCATGAAGTCATAATACTAAATAATATCTAATCCAACTAAAAAACAAGGAATTTGGAGAAGAACATAATTCCTTGCTAACTTTGCAAGTATGAGGGCCTGTAATGAGGTTTTTTATCTTATTATGTAGTAGTGAACAATTTGAAACAAAATGCATGATTGTAAATAGTACGCCGACAGTATATTTCTTTAAAAATTGCATGTCGTCCGATGTGTACTATGAACTGTTCTCCATCGTATTATATAAAATTACAATTATTGGATACCATTGTCGTGTACAGTAGTAATTGTTCATATTAGTCTTGATTGGCGTTTTATATTTTATGTTTTATACTCATTAAAAGTATTCGTTGTTTAAACGTCAGACTGTTTTTTGTCACTAGAGTACGGTATCTAGTAAATTTTGGGCTTTTTATACAAAGCTTGGTGTTGTTGGCCATGTTGTGAACTCTCCTTTCCTACATCAGGCATTGACTGAAAAACAATATCGAAGTGCAATTTAATATAGTTTGTTATCTTAACTACATCATTATATGTTTTACGATTCATTAATTAGTATGCACTTTCATTTACATTGAGCTCTGTTTAAAGGCATACATTATAACAGCTGGTCTCACTGCACGCCCTTGTACAATTCTACTTGGGAAGGTGTTTTTTCATATAGAAGGGGGTCACAGAGTAGATTATAGAATATTCATTTAGTATTGCATAATGTTTTACTACATGTCATGGTGTTATATTTACCATTTTCTCTATATGTGATAGTGAATAATCGTCCATTGGAATCCCCAACTAGTAGCTGCCCATCTTGGTTAATACAAACAGCCCTTGGGTTGTTCACGCCATCACTCTCTATTAGGAGGTATCTCACGAATTTGCCATCAGGGGTGAGTAGTTGTACTCTTTTGTTGTCGAAGTCTGCCACCACTATGTAGTCCTCATTGTCTGTGTCGACACCACGTGGATGTTTCAACTGGTCCTCCCCTGATCCTTGTGTACCATAACTGAAGAGTATATTGCCAGTCTGGTCCAATCCCGCTATAGAATGTCCGTAACGGTCACTTACTATAACTACTCCTTTGCTGTTCGTTGTCACATAGTAAGGACCGCTAAACGTACCAGAAGCAGAGAGTGGTGTTGCATTCCCTGTATCTTGTTCAACAATATACACATTGTCTGTGTAATCATCGCAGACAACCAACTGACCAGTAGATAGTGTAGTAATACCAAGTAGTTGATATGAAGACCCTGCAACTGTTATGTTGCGTATATGATTGCCGTCTGCTGTGTAGAAGTAGATCGTGCTAGACACATCAGTGAATCCCAGTTGACCATCACTTGTAACTGTAACACGCTTGAATGTTTTGCCGATATCTTTGATGAGACTATAATCACTGCCATATATCTTTGTGTTGGTGTCACCTGTTACCACAATATGTCCACTTGATGTTACTGCAAGATCCCGTATTTCGGTTGACAGCAGCTGTCTCTTTGCAACAATTGGGTTACTTTTTAGTATTCCAACGGTTACTGCAATTACATAATTAAGAAACATATAATTAGTGAATATTAATCATCTGAATCGTGAAATCATGTTGTAACACTGTATGTAATATAACAGAAAGTTTTTAATATAAGTCTTCAGCCCAACTTATATTGCATCTTTAAGTTTTAAATGACGCAAAACCACTGGGGAAGAAAGTTTCTCAAATAAAGTAGCCAGGAAAGTACATTTCGTGAGAAATGTGTCCTAATCGAAGGAACTTGATTTGTGAATATCCTAGCAATGGCAGAATTAATTTCTAGTTGTCATCATATTTTGAAAGCGGAACTCACGAACTATATACTTGCCGAATTTTCTGTTGTGATTTGAAGGATGAAAGCACCCTATCTTCGATTCCAGAGTTCCCTCCCAAGTGCTATACCTGACTTGTACAAGTACAGGTTTGCGTATACCAAGGGTGGTAGAGCCCATGCGTATACGTATTCAAAATAACTTATATCAAAAGCTCTCTAATAATAAATTGAATAAGGCATATTTCATACCTTTACGTTATGATTTGTTTTGTATGATGTTGTGACAATTGATTAGGTTCATCAGTTCCTATTTTATATGTTATAGCTGTACATGTTTGCTAATAATAACAGGTTAATAAGTTTAATAAGTGTTCGCTCAGTGCTATCGCTCATTATTTATTTTATCTCCAGTTTTTAAGGATTTTATGCTGATCCCTCATTTTATTTCATTCCATCTAAATCATATTGCTTTCTCTTTACAGATTAAGAATTTATCATCAAACTCGTTATTTTAAAGAATACGGATCTAGACAGATATGCATCCTACATTGAATGCTTTTAAACATATCATGGAGCAAAGTTTTTTTTACATATTTGATTGAATATTTTTACCATGACCTTTACGATGGCGCTGAGGAATGGTTTTCAATTTCCTCAGGCCTAAAGCCAAATGGACAACTGGTATTAGAGTCTTCAAAGATAAAATCCATTCTCAAAAATGGCAGCGAACTGAAATAGTACAATGGATTTTGATTGAGGGCAAAGCCGATTTTTTTTTAATATTTACATGTCACGGGAATAACGATTCAAGTAAATGTAAAACAAAAACACGTTCAGTTAAAATAATCGAATTCTCTATTTCAGTGGGTTGTTTTATTTTCTTGTGCGAGTTTGCACACCATCTCCACAGGTTGCAGAACATGCTCTTCAAGCTGACTTCGTAAAGGACCGCCTTGACTAAAACTAAAACATCATTATTCAGTTAATATAGATAGAATTCTCTATTCAAATGTGTTTTTATGCTGTTGTGCGAGTTTGTCCACCATCTCAGCAGTTTACAAAACACCCTCACCAAGCTGACTACGTTAAGTTAAAATACAAGATAATTATTTAGTTGAAATAATCGAATTCTCTATATCAACGTGTTGTTTTTTGCCCTTCTGCGAGTTTGTCCACCATATCCGGAGGTTGTAGAACACGCTCGCCAAACTGATCACGTACCAAGACCTCAGAAAAAACAACATATTCAGCTGAGACGAACGAATTCTCTATTTCAATGGGTTGATTTATGGTCTTGTGGGAGTTTCCCGAGCAGCTTTGCAGGTTGCAAAACACGCTCCCGAAGCTGACCATGTAAAGGACCCTCGCTCACTAAAACTACAGGGTGTCCCAAAAAAAGGAAACCAGCAATAGATTGCTTATTTCTCAAATATGAATAATGATAAGAAAATTTCACAGCTACCATCTGATAGATTATGATGTCCTCTTTTTTATGGTACCAAAGTTGTCTATTTTCCTTCACGGATGACTGAATTATAAGGGATTTAAGTGACCATGTCAGAAATGAGTTTGTACCACTTTCAGCCAAGTCAATTTCACCATTATAACAAAGTGATAAGTAACAACAAACATCAGGATATCACTCTTTTACTCATTTATTCCAATTAAAATTACACATATCATATTTAACACCCCTTTTAAATCCCAATGCCCATTCAAAGTTGTTTTAACCCTAGTGTCCTTCAACATGACCCCATTCCTTTCAATGCAAATGTCTGCCCTTGATCTCATCGCACGTACTGCATCCCTGATGATGTCTCTCTGATACCCTTGGATCCTCCACTGCTGCGACAATCCTGGCCTTTAGATCATCAATGTTGAATGCTTGTTCAGTAATCTGTTTTTCGAATAGGACGTGGTCTTGCATAGCCATTTGAATCCCTCATTGTTCAGCCTTTCATGATAGAAAAAGTGGCACAAACCAATTTCTGACATGGTCACTTATATCTCTTAGAACTCAGTCATCCGTGAAACAAAATAAACACCTTTGGTATCATAAGAAAAAGGACATCATAACCTATCAGCTGGTAGCTGTGAAATTTTCCTATTATTATTCATATTTGAGAAATAAGCAATCTATTGCTGGTTTCCTTTTTTCGGGACACACTGTAGAATATATTTAGTTGATCTAATTGACTTCTCTATTTCAATGGTTGTTTTAATGCTCTTGTGCGAGTTTGCCCACCATATCCGGAGGTTGTACAGGGTGACCGGAAAAAAAGGAGACCATTGAAATAGGCAATATCTCCTAAAATAGACTAGTGGCATCAAGGACAGTTCTATGGAAATTTGTTCCCGAAAGTGTCAATACAAGCAGTCAACTGGTTCAGGAGCTATGATCATTTACATAACATGCTCCAAATAGGCGCAATTGAGACCAACGCAGAGCTGGATACATTTGGCAAATACCCTTACATATTCCGACCTTGTTATGGCATTACATTTAGCATTTATTGCCACCTTTAGGTCAGCAATTGTCTCAGGATTGTTTTGGTACACATTGTCTTTCAAATTGCCCCACAAAAAGAAATCAGGTGGATTCAAATTTGAGGTGTATGGAGACGAAGCTTATCTGACCTATGGCTTCTGACTCAGTGGTCCCACTCAGTTACAGTATCATCCTAAGGAGGTTTTGGGCAGCCCTTGGTTTCCATATGGGATTTAATTGTGCCATATAGTGGTTTTAGTAACATGGCACTATGCCCAATACCTAAAGTGACTCTTAAGATTGGGTAAATCAGCACTTTGGCAACAGGATGATGAACCACATGTCAGATAACCCTTCATTGCCATTACAGCCTAGACTTGAATCCTGCTGATTTCTTTTTGTATGGATATTTGAAAGACAATCTATACCAAAACAATCCTCAGACTATTGTTGACCTAAAGAAGGCAATCACTGCTATATGTTGCCATAATAATGCCATAGAGGGCAGAATATGTAAGGGTAGTTTGCCATATGAATCCAACTCTGCGTTGGTCTCAATTGTGCCTATTTGGAGCATGTTATGTAAATGATCATAGCTCCTGAACCATTTGAATGCTTGTATTGAAACCTTCAGTAACACATTTCCATATAACTGTTCCAGTGTATGCAAAATTTCATTGATGGCACTTGTCTAGTTTAGGAGAAATTGATTACTTCAATGGTCTCCTTTTTTTCACCCTGTATAACACGCTCGCCAAACTGACTTCGTAAAGGACCCCGTTAACTAAAGCTAAAACATCATTATTCAGTTAATATAAAATAATTTTCTATTCCAATGTGTTGTTTTATGCTCTTGTGCGAGTTTGCCCACCATATCCGGAGGTTGTATAACACGCTCGCCAAACTGACTTCGTAAAGGACTCCGTTAACTAAAGCTAAAATATCATTATTCAGTTAATATAATATAATTTTCTATTCCAATGTGTTGTTTTATGCTCTTGTGCGAGTTTGCCCACCAACTCTGTAAGCTACAGAACACGCTCTCCGAGCTGACCACGAACCAGGAACTCCGTCAACTAAAACAAAATACATTCAGTCGAAATAATAGAATTCTGTATTTAAGTGGGATGTCAGATGCTTTTGTTCGAGGTTGCTCTCCATCTCCACAGGTTATGAAATATGCACCCCAAGCTAACCACGAACCAGGACCTCCGTTAACTGAAACAGGTCGCATTTTAAATCAAAATATTTATCTCTTTGAATGACTTTATACGCTATAATAAATTCCTAATTCTGTCAAATCATACCGGGGCATTCTGCATCATTACAGGACCGTGTGTCTCTCAGGTCACTTGGATTGCATTGGCTTCCTCCATGAGATGGGGCTGGGTTGTCACATTCTCTTGTGCGAGTTTGCTCTCCTTCTCCGCAGGTTGTAGAACACGCTCCCCAAGCTGACCACGTACCAGGGCCTCCATTAACTGAAACAAAATCGTATTTTTAATCGAATTATTTATCTCTATGAATTACTTCATACGCATTAATCTATTCCTAATTCAGTAAAATCATACCGGGGCATTCTGCATCACTACATGACCGTGTGTCCGTCAGATCACTTGAATTGCATTGGCTTCCTCCATTAGCTGGGATTGGGTTGTCACATTCTCTTGCGCGAATTTGTGCTCCACCTCTGCAGGTTGCAGAACACGCTCCCCAAGCTGACCACGTACCAGGGGCTCCATTTACTGAAAAAACATATTCGGTTAATAAATAAAAGTCTTTACCTCTATGAATGACTCCATTAGCTATAATAAATTCCTAATTCTGTCAAATCATACCGGGGCATTCTGCATCATTACAGGACCGTGTGTCCGTCAGATCACTTGGATTGCATTGGCTTCCTCCATTAGCTGGGGCTGGGTTGTCACATTCTCTTGTGCGAGTTTGCTCTTCTTCTCCGCAGGTTGTAGAACACGCTCCCCAAGCTGACCACGTACCAGGGGCTCCATTTACTGAAACAAAAAAGTATTCGCTTAAGTAATCAAACTCTTTATATCTATTAATGACTGCAAACGCTATGCTCTGTCCCAAGTTCTATCATACCAGGGCATTCTTCAACATTACAGGACCGTTTGTCCGTCAGATCACTTAAATGGCATTGGCTTCCTCCATTAGCTGGGACTGGGTTGTCACATGCTCTTGTACGTGTTTGCTCTCCATCTTCGCAGGTTGAAGAACATGCTCCCCAAACTGACCACGTACCAGGACCTCCGTGAACTGAAACAAAATCACATTTTTTAATCGAATTATCTATTTCTATGAATTACTTCATATGCTATAATAAATTCCTAATTCTGTCAAATCATACCGGGGCATTCTGCATCATTACAGGACCGTGTGTCAGTCAGATCACTTGAATTGCATTGGCTTCCTCCATTAGCTGGGATTGGATTGTCACATGCTCGTGTGCGAATCTGCTGTCCTTCTCCGCAGGTTGTAGAACACACTCCCCAGGATGACCAGGTACCAGGCCCTCCGTTAACTGAAAAACAAAAACACACACGATTTTCTGTAAATAAATTGACGTCTTTATCATATCATACCAGGGCATTCTGCATTCTGAATCGCATTGGCTTCCTCCATGAGCTGGGACTGGGTTGTCACATGCTCTTGTGCGAGTTTGCTTTCCATCTCCGCAGGTTGAAGAACATGCTCCCCACGCCGACCACGTTCCAGGGCCTCCATTAACTGAATTGAAGGTAGATCGGAAAATACCTCAAAACCAATAGAAATATTATAGATACGACGTGAGATACTGTACATCACTTCGTAACATTGCGATAAATATGCGCAATGCTCTCCCAGTAATTGCAAAAGTTTTAATATTTGTGGAATCTTCTTCAAAAGTTCAAGTTTTGTTCAGATTAATGTGCGCTTCAATACAATTCTATATTCAAAAAGGTTGTGTCACGATATACAGAATTAGAATCAACAGAAAGTACACATTCAAACCCTACCCGCTTTCTTTGTCGCGCTTTTCGGCCCTGCGCTCTCATTGTCGCACCGTCATTCTAGACTCTTTCACAGAGCCCCTTGTCATATTCAACTGATATACACCGACGGGAAAATAATAAGGATTGTAAAATGTATTATTTGTTATTTATTTTAACTCAAATATTTAGTTTTATTTATTTAAAGCAATAAATAATAAAGGAGAACATATAATACGCTAAAGGCGTAACGTCTTATTTTGTAAAGGCTTCACTTGGGGTTGTGGTGATAAAATAATGTCTGTCTCAATATAAACTTGTTCAAATTAAATTAAATTAATTGTTTCTAGGAAGGGGTATATCTAAAAGAACATGCTGAAACATTGGAAGTTTTGAATCGTTTGAAACGTTTTATCCCTTAATTAGAGATATTTGAACACAAAAAATGAAACGTAATTTTGTGAATTTTTCACATGGCTTCACTTCATATTTCTTTCAATTTATACTTCTTACAGACTGAATTTTAATCGAAATGATATAGTTTTTTGATAAAAATATAGAATATGATATGCCTTTGAGGATTCATGATCAGGATTCATGATTAAAAAAGAATAGTTCACCTTTCAAACGATTAAATGTTTAATTGATCAAAATATATATCTTGTTGGTACGAAATTCTGCCTGTCCACACTTTTTTTGGCATAAACGTAAGCGTTAAATTAACATTGTTATATGATGACGTCATCACACAGAATCTGTTTGTTTTTTTCAAAATGGTGAATTTAAATATTGTGAAAAACTGAGAAAGATCCGTTCAGAAATGACAAAGTTACCTTCATTTTTCGTTTAAAACTAAAATCATTTTTCTTCAAAATGTTACAGTCCACACCCGGTTTTAGCATAGAAAGTCAAATCATACGGCTTGCGTGATTCTCATTTAAAAAGTCCCAAGAAAATTATTTGGAATTCCGATAGGCAAAATATTTCATGTTCAACTGATGACGAAAATTTGTATAAAAATATGATTTCGTTGTGGAGATATCGCGGTTCTAAAAGTAAGTACGCAATGTAAAAATGCAATAAAATGCCATGATGTACAATATCTGACGTCGTATCTATAGCTAGCAATTTTTCTTGTAGCATTACCTTTTAGACGTTTTTCCGTGTAAAGTACCCACTCATCACCACGTATGATATGAGGATCAGACGTTGAGTTTGGTTGTGCGGAAAGAAGTTCGCAAGTTGCATTTTCGGTGTTAAAATTCACGGCGACGCACTTAGGACTGCAAGTTTGCTTCCCACACGTAAATAAGCATTGAACGGTTGCGATTTCCATATCATATCGGCGAAACTCCATAACCGATTTACTGATTCTCGATTGCGAAGAGTTGTAAAATAGACCATTGTTTCGGTAATGCTTATAAGAGACTCCATAGCTGCTCGTTTCTTTAATACAGCCAAATCCTATGTAAAGCAGGATAATCGAAACAATTGATGATATTAGAGCTGTGTCCATGATGTTATTCAAATGACTACGTATGTGAAAAAGGAATATAAAATCCGAACGTGTTATGTTATCCATATGGGAAGCGTCTGGTGTAGTTATGCAATTGATTTCTATAAATAATAAATGAAGTATGAAGTAACGGTTGGTTGGTTTTTTACATTCAGCGTCAAGGAGGATTGGAAGCCAGGGTTCCAACTCGATATTCTTTAATCTCCACGCATGCGTCATTTGCTATTCGTGTCTGTATAACTTGTACGACTGCATGGAGAATGACCCGATACTCTCCAACAAAGCTATCGCTAGGTGATTGTTTTGCAGAATATCGGTGTTGCATTCTGGGAGCCAATCCTCCTTGATTCAGCGTACTATTAAAAGTACTCGAGTACAATAGTATCAGGGGCGTAGGGAGGTGTAACTTCAACACTACGCCAAAAATATGAAACAATTGTGTCAAACCTTCTCCTATCAAAAGGCCTATTTTATGCTCGTAAAACGTCATTTTATGGCAATACCTTTCTAATGTGCTTAAAATGTACGAATGTTTTTCATCATATAAAATCACCATGGAAAGCCGATCTTTTAAATATCGACATAACTCATTCTCACGTTTCTCATGTAAATGCTAATTTTCTCAAGGGATATAGAGTAGACGACCAGATAACAATGAGAAATTTTTTATCATTTTTGAATATTGAATTGAGATACATAATTTTCTGATTCCATCATGAACCGTGAAATGCGACAATACAAATCAAAGAAACTAGTATAATTAATCGATTTAACGAAACATTATCGTGATCAATGATACAATTAACCCTAATGTCTGCAACATTTTGATAACACCAATTCGCAACACCAAATAACCTCCCCCCCCATTCAAAAATGTCAAATCGAGGTCAATGTGACTAAGGGGGTGCCAAAATGCTATATTTCTGAAATTGATAATCTATTATCTTGCAAATGAAATAAAAATCAAGATAAAAGATTTTTAGAACTGAAGTTATGTACTTTATGTACTTTCAAAGATAGCAGGTATTGCCAAACACATTGAAATCAATGGAACGTGGGATTGAATAATCAACAATTTCATGTTGTTTTTGTCTATAAGTACTACCAATAACAATAAGTGGTTTAGTTAGAAAATAGATTTTTGCTGACTTATTATTATTCCAATATAATTTCGGTCCATAATTTTGTTTAGCAACGGAATATAAATTGAATTAGTGAAATTGAAAAATTGGGGATAGGGGATAAAAAAAATCTATTTTTAAAATTTCAAGGGGTTCATCACTATAATTATGATACACTTAAACTGCGAATGGAATTTGTTATAAATTAATGAAATACTAGAAACGAATGTTCTTGTTAGTATGTTGATTGGAAATTGAATTCGAAGCTCAAATGATGAGAGACTTTTGCTATATACTGCTTCTATATACCCATATTAGTTTCATCCCATTTCATAAAAACGCACCGCTCATTTTTCAAAACTGGCTCCAACTTGGAGCCAGTTTTGAAAAGTGAGCGGTGCGTTTTTATTAAACGGAAATGCAATGCATAATCTATTCTGATTTAATGAATGTGATCTTATTCATCGATATCTGTGCTTAGAATTCAATTTACTGTCATAGTTTTGGCTTGAAATGACTTTTTCCAAAAAATCTTGAAATATGTAATAATTTTACGTATTTTTCAGTTTTTTCTCATTTTCATGAAAATTATACGAGAATAAGATGCATAATGCACATAACAATTATCATGAAACAGTATCCCGTGATTCCCAGTTGCTAGATTGCCCCTACATAGCTTGTGTAAGATGGAGCGAGCTGATTTGCAAACTGGCTCCAAGTTGGAGCCAGTTTTGTAAAATGAGCGATGCGTTTTTATCAAACAGAAATGCAATGCATAATCTACTCTTATTTAACGAACATGATTTAATTTATCGATATTTTTACTTAGAATTAAATTTCCCCATAGTTTTGGTTTGAAATTACTTTTTGCAAAAAATCTTGCAATATGTTACAATTTTACTTATTTTCATTTTTTTCTCATTTCCATGCTAATTATACGAGAATAAGATGCATAATGCACAACAAAATGATTGAGAGAGAGAATCTGGCTTTTAAAACTGGCTTCTTGGTAACTGCAGAAGCCGGCTTCTGTAAGTCATTCGAAGACGGTTTTTAAAAGCCGGCTTCTGATGTACTGTAGAAGCCGGCTTTAAAAGCCGGCTTTGAAAGCCGACTTTGTATATTTGCCTTCGACTCTTTCTCAATAAAATGGCGGCTAATTAAGATCCCTCGGTGGACGTAAATATTATTTTACTCGTTTCTCTTACATATCAAACGTTATGGTGGCATATTATGTACCACTGGATGAACAATACCCTGAGCAAAGATCTTTTTATTCAACTTCTGATGGTAACCTGTTATTTGCTTAATTAAAGCTCCATAGTTTATTATTAGATCAAACGAATCTGAAGTTGACGAATTAAGCATAGATTACGAATTAAAGTAGTATTTATATGAAAACGTCAATCTTTCTGTTAACGTAGTAAATCACAAACTCGTATATTCTTACTTGTTGAAATTCCAGTTCAATTCTATTACTTGTTCTCAAGAAATCGCTTGTTTTCCTCGGATCGACGCTCCGTTGATTGTGGACACACTTTTAGAAACGCTCGTACCATTTTGTTTTGATATTATTTTCAGATTATTAGAGAAGATTAAGGAATCGAACATATATCTCCAAAACGTGTTGCACTTGTTGAGCAAATTGAAATTTCCAAATCTGGTGGTGCTACACGTGCAACACGTGCCGACTTAAGCTTACATTAGATGATGTTATGCCTACATGTGTGCTAAAGCATAAAACTTTAGCACACTACTGAAAAAAGAACAAAACGCGTATACATAAATTAATCGTTCTTCTTTTGATGCCAAGTGACAGAAAAGATTTTATGAATTGTGATAACTATACTGTTTTATACAGCTCTTTCGAATAGATTCAAATGTCATAATGCAGCCGCCAAGTATAACATGAATATATATCACACCCATCGAATGGTTTACACGAATTAAGTTACACATACCTCACGACGAAATCGTTCGACGGCTGATAATTTTTGCCCGCCTTTTTCAAACTCTAGAGCGTTTCGTCAGTAATGAAACGCTCCGTCGTGCATGTAAGAGCGTTTGGGTTATACACCGTGTATATTATCATGTTTTTACGTAGTTCGAGTGCAAGGAACCAATTCTTTCTTACCAACTCCCATTTTTTTGTTTTTTCTGATTTTTACTGGACAACCCTTAATAAATGTACAAAATATCGGATTGATTACATAAGTCCCAACCCAACAAGGATTGAAAAAATGTCATACAATGACTCGTCTCTTAAAATGAAAAAGTCGTTTCTGAAAAGGAAATAGTGACACATATACTTTTTATGAACTATCTCCTAAAATTCCCACAGTTATATTACGGAATGAGATGACTCCTCGCCAATGTATATTTTACAACAAATCAAAGCACAAAAGTTAGGGTTCATGTTGTCAGAAAGCACTCATAGGGATCATGCTTTCTATGACCAGATAGAAGAAAATGATGACAATGACATGCTGAAAAACATAAAACAACATGATAGAATATGCTATCATGATCAGTGTTATCGTTCTTACATGCCTCGAAAGAGATCCAAATCTTTTAAGATCAAGAGGTATTTTCTCATAACTTTGTAATACAATTTCTTAGATGCGAGTAGAAATAATCTTGATTTACGTCATTAAATATGCAAAATTCAGTCAAAGTGATGTCATATTTGGAATCTAAATGTAAAAGAACATCTAAAATTATGGGTTCGAAAATTGTTTATCAACTTTGAAAATTTAATTTTTTTGAAAATGTGACTTCTAGCTCGGGTTGATTCCTCATAGACCCCATGTTACAAAATCACAAAAAGTGAAATATCTTTTCTTGTGTAGGGCAGATAATATTTACTTTAACTGGACATATTTTGATTTGTATAACTATCAGATACATAATTATTAAGGGTAATATGAAAAGTGAACCGATAAAACTGATGAATATTAAAGTTAAAGGGAATTTTTTAATACCCTGCCTTGTTATTTCCCCCGAATCAGCCAACTAGTGGCGAAACTGTTAACTACCTACTCGCATATGAGTAATTGAGAAGGATATCTTAACAGATGGTAGAACCAAGCGATTGACAGATATTTCGGGCGAGGACTCTATTTTCATGTAACTCTTCGACACATTCAATTTGTTGCTGTGCTTTTCCCATTTCCACTTAAGTGGGTACATATTTTTAATTTCAGAATTCCGAATTTTTATTTTTAAAAACAGTATGATATCAGTTAATATAATATATATTTTTATTATATCACTGTCATATTCCTCACTCTCTTATTGGTCCATGACCTACATGTGACTAAAAAATAACTAGCGATATTCAACGGAAATCACGTGACTTCCGGTGAATATCAAATGATATTCAACGGTCATAACTTATACATCACCGGGGTTGACTTAGTCCAGTGTAATTTTTATTTCATATATCCCATTATAACGAAAAAGATTCCTAACCTGTTTCCCACATGGCCAATACTATGAGTATGAACACAATGGTTCCATTTTCATTGACCCATTGCAATATTACAATTAATTATAAGTTAACACGAAACCTTAAATTAAATACTATAATTTGGGAGTTGATATTTATTGTATTTATTGTTATATTGTTAGAAGAAATATAAATGTATTTCAATGTTAACATACTTATTTAGTTATAGAAGATGTTATGACAGTGATATAATAAAACAAATATTTAATTCTATTTTCGGTGAATACCTGTGACACTTTCACAAGATGATATTCCACAGGCCCTTCGGGCTTCGTGGAATATCACTTGTGAAAGATGCACAGGTATTCACCTCAATAGAATTAAATATTTGTATAATATTTGTCTTTATAAAAGCAACCAAATCATGTCCAACCATATGCAAAATTTTTAATCGCAGACGGTATTAATCAATGAAGAGCAAGGGGTCCCCTTTATTAGCAGTTGACCCCTGAATACGGCCGTCAATATCTCAAAATGTATTACAACTAATGTAGTGAAAAGCTAACATATTATAACCATATGTTATTCACAGGTAATAAATGTGTCAATATATTGATTGCTTCACCAATATCTCCAAAAACGACATAAAATGATAAACATTGATTTTGTATATATAAGGTATTTCGATGAACAAATAACGCAAAATTATAGCCAAGAAACTTGATGTATATATTAGAAATATTTTCGTACGATTTTCTTTTAATGTTTGTAATTTAAATCGTGAAAAAAATTCGAAATAGTTTTTACGCGTTTTTGACCCCTGCTAATGACACGCATAATTCGGCCTAAAAGCCCGCCGTATTTATCACGGCTATACAAAATAATACGCGGGACATATCTAAATATAAGGTCAAATATCGTTGCGCATATATCATGTCACCAACTCCTTAATTAGACGTTCTAGAATGCCATACCATGGACTAAATTGCCAAAGTGTAACAACATTAGCCGCAATTTGATTATACACATTGTGAAATAACAGATCGGAGATGAAAAGTAAATTTTGTTACTTTTACACTTAAATCCATATCCCTGAATCAAGATTATTTAATCCCATTGGCCTTGATGATGAAAAAAAACAGAAAATAACCAGAACAACGTTGTTTATAAGTGGGAAAATGCTCATCTCGTTTTGACATAGTTACTGTTGTTTGGCATGAAGTCATAATACTATCTAATCCAACTAAAAAAACGAGGAATTTGGAGAAGAACATAATTCCTTGCTAACACTTTGCAAGTATGAGGGGCTGTAATGGGGTTGTTTATTTTATTATTTAGTAGTCGGACAATTTGAAACAAAATGCACGATTGTCAATAGTACGCCGACAGTATATTTCTTTAAAAATTGCATATCATCCGATGTGTACTGTGAACTGTTCTCCATCGTATTATATATTGCAATTATTGGATACCATTGTCGTGTTCAGTAGTAATTGTTCATATTAGTCTTGATTGGCGTTTTATATTTTATGGTTTATTCTCATTAAACGAATTTGTTGTTTAAACGTCAGACTGTTTTTTACGGTATCTAGTATGTTGGACTTTATACAAAGCTTGGTGTTGTTGGTCATGTTTGGAACTCTCCTTTCCTACATCAGGCATTGACTGAAAAACAATATTGAAGTGCAATTTAATATAGTTTGTTCACTTAACTACATCATTATATGTTTCACGATTTATTAATTAGTATGCAGTTTTCATTTACATTGCGATCTGTTTAAAGGCATACATTATAATAGCTGGAGTCACTGCACGCCCTTGTACAACTCTATGCTGGAAGGTGTTTAGTCATATAGAAGGGGGTCACAGAGTAGACTATAGAATATTCATTTAGTATTGTCGCATAGTGTTCTACTCAAAGTCTGTGGTTCTACTATATGTTATCGTGTTATATTTACCATTTTCTCTGTATATGATAGTGAATAATTGTCCATTCTTATCCCCAACCAGTAAATGTCCGTCTTGGTTTATCCAAACAGCACGTGGGTAGGACAAGCCATCACTCTCTGTTAGGAGGTAACTATGGAACATGCCATCGGGGGTGAGTAGTAGTACTCTGTCGTTGCTTGCGTCTGCTACCACAATGTAGTCCTCCTTATCTGTGTCGACACCACGTGGATATTCCAACTGCCCCTCCCCCGATCCTCTTGTACCATAACTGAAGAGTACTTGGCCATCCTGGTCCAATCCCTTTATAGAATGTCCGTAACGGTCACTCACTATAACTACTCGTTTGCTGTTTGTTGTCACATAGAGAGGCCATTCAAACGTACCAGAAGCAGAGAGTGGTGTTGCATTCCCTGTATCTTGTTTAACAATATACACTCTGTCTGTCTTTCCATCGCACACAACCAACTGACCAGTAGATAGTGTAGTAATACCACGTAGATCATATGAAGACCCTGTAACTGTTATGTCGCGCATATAATTGCCGTCTGCTGTGTAGAAGTAGATTGTGCTAGACGAGTCAGTGAATACCAGTCGATCATCACTTGTAACTGTAACATGATAGAATCTTTCGCCGATATCTTTGATGAGACTATAATCACTGGCATATATCTTTGTGTTGCTCCCACCTGTTACCACAATATGTCCTCTTGATGTTACTGCAAGATCATATGTTTCATATATTTCGCTTGACTTCAGCTGTCTCTTTGCAACAGTTGGGCTGCTTTTTAATTTTCCAACTGTTACTGCAATTACATAAATAAGAAACATATGATAAGTGAATATTAATCATCTGAATCGTGAAACCATGTTGTCATACTGTATGTAATATAACAGAAAGCTTTTAATATAAGTTTTCAGCCCAACTTATATTGCAACTTTAACTTTTAAATGACGCAAAAACACTCGGAGGTTTCTCAAATAAAGAAACCAGGAAAGAACATTTCGTGAGAAATGTGTCCTAATCGAGGGAACTGATTTGTGAATATCCTAGCAATGGCAGAATTAATTTCTAGTTGTCATCATATTTTGAAAGCTCACGAACTTGCCGGATATTCTGTTGTGATTTGAAGGATGAAAGCAACCTATCTTCGTTTCCAGAGTTCCTCCCCAGTGCTATACCTGACTTGTACAACTACAGGTTTGCGTATACGTATTCAAAATAACTTATATCAAAAGCTCTCAAATAATAAATTGAATAAGGCATATTTCATACCTTTACTTTGTGATTTGTTTTGTATTGTTTTGTGACAATTGATTAGGTTCGCCAGTTCCTATTATATATGTTATAAACTGACGTGTACATGTGGTCTAATAAAAACAGGTATACAGTGTTCGCTCGGCGCAAACGCTTATTCTTTATTTCATCTCCACTTAGGGATTTTATGCTGATCCCTCGTTACATATCATTCCATTTAAATCATAATTGCGTTCTCTTTACAGATTAAGAATTTATCATTAAACTCATTATTTTAAAGAATACGGATCTAGACTGATATGTATCATTCATTGAATGCTTTTAAACATATCATATATGGAGCTAAGGTTTTTTATATATTTGATTTAATATTTTTACTATGTGCTTTACAATGGCGCTGAGGAATGGTATTCAATTTCCTCAAGCCTAAAGCCCGAATGGACAACTGTTATTAGAGTCTTCAAAGATAAAATCCATTTAAAAAATGACAGCTATTTTAAAAGAAGGTGTAGGAACCTTGTAATACAAATCTGTTCATTTCAGAGGTGGGTCTGATTTACACACATCAAACCCATACTGTAAAACCATTCCTTCATTAATTTCATTTGAATTTAGACAAAACATACCAATTTTGAAGATTTCTGATGGTTGCGATGGTTCCCCAGTCCCGACTTCATTCTCTGCTACGATGCGCAGTTCATAATCCACACCTTCCGTCAGACCTCTCAACAAGTAATTGTTCCCAGGAATATCATTGTCAGTCGTCACGAGCATCCATGTGTAATTGTCGGAACGGCGCATCTCAATGTTGTAATTGGTGACCTTTGCGCCCCCGTCATCTTGGGGTGGTGTCCAGGTGACATTAGCTGTGTCGTTAAGTACAGATACGACAGGTCTACCAGGTGGACCGGGTTTAACTGAAATAGTACAATGGATTTTGATTGAGGGCACAGCCGATTTTTTTTAAATATTTACATTTTAAGTGCATGTCACGGGAATAACGATTCAAGTAAATGTAAAACAAAAACATGTTCAGTTAAAATAATCGAATTCTCTATTTCAGTTGGTTGTTTTATTTTCTTGTGCGAGTTTGCACTCCATCTCCACAGGTTGCAGAACGTGCTCTTCAAGCTGACTTCGTAAAGGACCCCCTTGACTAAAACTAAAACATCATTATTCAGTTAATATGAAAGAATGCTCTATTCAAATGTGTTTTTATGCTCTTGTGCGAGTTTGTCCACCATCTCAGCAGTTTACAAAACACCCTCGCCAAGCTGACAACGTTAAGTTAAAATACAAGATAATCATTTAGTTGAAATAATCGAATTCTCTATATCAACGTGTTGTTTTATGCCCTTCTGCGAGTTTGCCCACCATATCCGGAGGTCGTAGAACACGCTCGCCAAACTGACCACGTGCCAAGACCTCCGTTAAGTGAAACAAAAACATATTCAGTTGAGACGATCGAATTCTCTATTTCAATGGGTTGATTTATGGTCTTGTGGGAGTTGCAGGTTGCAAAATATGCTCTCGAAACTGACCATGTAAAGGACCATCGCTCACTAAAACTAAAATATATTTAGTTGATCTAATTGACTTCTCTATTTCAATGGTTGTTTTATGCTCTTGTGCGAGTTTGCCCACCATATCCGGAAGTTGTATAACACGCTCGCCAAACTGACTTCGTAAAGGACCCCGTTAACTAAAGCTAAAATATCATTATTCAGTTAATATAATATAATTTTCTATTCCAATGTGTTGTTTTATGCTCTTGTGCGAGTTTGCCCACCATCTCTGTAAGCTACAAAACACGCTCTCCGAGCTGACCACGAACCAGGAACTCCGTCAACTAAAACAAAATACATTCAGTCGAAATAATAGAATTCTGTATTTCAGTGGGACGTCAGATGCTCTTGTTTGAGGTTGCTCTCCATCTCCACAGGTTATGAAATATGCAACCCAAACTAACCACGAACCAGGACCTCCGTTAACTGAAACAAAATCGCATTTTAAATCAAATTATTTATCTCTATAAATGCCTTCATACGCTATAATGAATTCCTAATTCTGTCAAATCATACCGGGGCATTCTGCATCATTACAAGATCGTGTGTCCGTCAGATCACTTGAATCGCATTGACTTCCTCCATGAGCTGGAGCTGGGTTGTCACATGCTCTTGTGCGAGTTTGCTCTCCATCTCCGCAGGTTGTAGAACACGCTCCCCAAGCTGACCACGTACCAGGGCCTCCATTAACTGAAACAAAATCGTATTTTTAATCGAATTATTTATCTCTATGAATTACTTCATAGTACGCATTAATCTATTCCTAATTCAGTAAAATCATACCAGGGCATTCTGCATCATTACAGGGTCGTGTGTCCGTCAGATCACTTTGATTACATTGGCTTCCTCCATGAGCTGGGGCTGGGTTGTCACATGCTCTTGTGCGAGTTTGCTCTCCATCTCCGCAGGTTTTAGAACACGCTCCCCAAGCTGACCACGTACCAGGGGCTCCATTTACTGAAACAAAAATATATTCGGTTAATAAATCAAATTCTTTACCTTTATGAATGACCTCATACGCTATAATGAATTCCTAATTCTGTCAAATCATACCGGGGCATTCTGCATCATTACAAGACCGTGTGTCCGTCAGATCACTTGAATTGCATTGGCTTCCTCCACGAGCTGGGACTGGGTTGTTACATGCTCTTGTGCGAGTTTGCTCTCCATCTCCGCAGGTTTTAGAACATGCTCCCCAAGCTGACCACGTACCAGGGGCTCCATTTACTGAAACAAAAACATATTCGGTTAATATATCAAATTCTTTACCTTTATGAATGACTTCATACACTACGATAAATTCCTAATCCTGTCAAATCATACCGGGGCATTCTGCATCATTACAAGACCGTGTGTCCGTCAGATCACTTGAATTGCATTGGCTTCCTCCATGAGCTGGAGCTGGGTTGTCACATGCTCTTGTGCGAGTTTGCTCTCCATCTCCGCAGCTTGTAGAACACGCTCCCCAAGCTGACCACGTACCAGGGGCTCCATTTACTGAAACAAAAACATATTCGGTTAATAAATCAAATTCTTTACCTTTATGAATGACTTCATACGCTATAATGAATTCCTAATTCTGTCAAATCATACCGGGGCATTCTGCATCATTACAAGACCGTGTGTCCGTCAGATCACTTGAATTGCATTGGCTTCCTCCATAAGCTGGGGCTGGGTTGTCACATGCTCTTGTACGTGTTTGCTCTCCATCTCCGCAGGTTGTAGAACACGCTCCCCAAGCTGACCACGTACCAGGACCTCCATTAACTGAAACTAAACGTAAGCGTTAAATTAGCATTGTTATATCATGACGTCATCACACAGAATCTGTTTGGTATTTTTTCAAAATGGTGAATTCAAATACTGTGAAAATTTGAGCGAGATCCGTTAAGCAATGACAAAGTTATCTTCATTTTTCGTTTAAAATTAAAATCATTTTTCTTCAAAATGTTACAGTCCACACCCGGTTTTAGCATAGAGAGTCACATCATACGGCTTGCGTGATTCTCATTTAAAAAGTCCCAAATCAATTTTTTGGAATTTCGATAAAAATATTTCATGGATATATGTTCAACTGATGACGAAAAATTGTATAAAAATATGATTTCGCTGTGGAGATATCGTGGTTCTAAAAGTAAGTACGCATGTAAATATGCAATAAAATGACGTGATGTACAGTATCTGACGTCGTATCTATAGCAATTTTTCTTGTAGTATTACCCTTTAGACGTTTTTCCGTATAGAGTACCCACTCATCATCACGTATGATATGAGGATCAGACGTTGAGTTTGGTTGTGCGGAGAGAAGTTCGCAAGTTGCATTTTCGGTGTTAAAATTCACGGCGACGCACTTAGGACTGCAAGTTTGCTTCCCACACGTTATTAAGCATTGAACGGCCGCCATTTCCATATCGTATCGGCGAAACGGCATAACCGATTCACTGATTCTCGAACCCGAAGAGTTATAAAAGTGACCATTGTTTCGGTAATGCTTATACGCGACTCCAGAGCTGTTGGTTTCTTTAATACAGTCAAATCCTATGTAAAGCAGAATAATCGAAACAATTGATGATATTAGAGTTGTGTCCATAATGTTATCCAAATGACTACGTATGTGAAAAAGGAATATAAAATAAAATGTTATCTGTATTGGAAGCGTCTGGTGTGGTTATGGATTTGATTTCTATAAATAATAAATGAAGTATGAAGTAACGGTTGGTTGTTTTTTTACATTCAGCTTAATATTAAAACTACTCGAGTCCAATATGTTATACCAATGTATATAAAGGGATCACTTAAACTGCGAATGGCATTTGTTATAAATTAATGAAATACTAGAGACAAATGTTCTTGTTACTATGTTGATTGGAAATTGAATTCGAAGCTCAAATGATAAGAGATTTTTGCTATATACTGCTTCTATATACCCATATTAGTTTTATCCTGTGTCATCGGCCATATATAAGAAATAAGGAACGTAATAAATAAAGAACAAAAAGTGTATTTTATCAAAACGACTTACTAGTTCAAGATGATACCATTGTTTCAACAAAAGAGGATGCCAAAAGTTCTCGTTTTACAGTATTCAAAAAGAAGCGTTACTATAGTATACCATATGTCTGACTATCATTTAAGATAGTATTGCATTCTTAAGTTAAATATGATATGATGAGTAGTAAGTAACCAAGGGAAATAGATACACATACATTTTATCCAAGACCGTATACTACTACAGGACGAAGAAAAGATGATTATTGAAATAGCAATGATGTCCTTGCTTAAAATCTGGATAAGATGGGAAAGTCAATAAGAAAGTATTATCATGCTAAATGTAAGGAAAGGCGAAATCAACCAGTTTAAGAATTCTCGAAGAGAAATGGCGCAAAACATAACACAACATTTTCATTTTGTTTATAATCATGCGAACTGTCAATCGGTTTTTTATTTTATGTTTATATAATACATTAAATAGATGTAATGAATTGGTAGGCACTTACCATTCAAGTCATAGACCTTTGATGTATCATGATCAGTTGATATACACTGCAAGATAGATTGAAACAAACCATTCACAAGTTATATATTTGTTCTGCATTAATTGTATGAAACATCAAAATGAATTTCTGAAACTTTGTTAATCACTATCTTGTCTCAAAAACTCATCTAAATAGATTTGATTCCAGATCTAATAAAATCGAGTTTTTGAACAACAAAGGGACGCCAGACACAAAAAAGATTACACGGAATGAGTAATTCACACGGTAATGTTTTCAAATTAAGTTATTTCTACAATGTTATTTAAACAAATAATAGGTATTATACCATATTTTATATCCAAATAACACGTGCAAGGTTATACAAACTATACATAATATAACATATATAATACAACATTCATTCATACACATCGTTTGGCATGGGGAAACGCTATGGATCGAAAAAACCGTTTTGTATCCAACAGAAACGATTGCGTAATCTTTTGATAAATGATATTGTTGCACAGCATGCTTTTGCAACAGAGTATTGCTTGAGATATAAGAAAAATGATTTATATCAAACTGCGTTTGTTCATATTGTGGCGACCCGCCCTTATTGGCCTTTAAATATCGCCAGTATGGCAGAGTGATCGAGGTCATCGTATCAGGTGTATAAGTATCGCATTATCTGTTTAAAATCATTGTATACATAATTATGTATTACTGTAATCGTGATAAAAATGTGTTTTACGTTTTGTATCAGTTCCTGGTTAAATTCAAATCTCATATCAAGTCTCGCACTTCTGCGAGACCTGTATCACGTCAAGATAAAAACGCGCCAAAAACAGGCCTATACTCTAAGATTTATTTCGTCAGATTAAAGGGTTGATACCCAATATTGAATAGTTTAGGGCAATTAAATCCATTTGCTTTTCAATACATAACATAACAAATAAAGAGGAGCAATACCTGAATATACAGAGTGTTCCATATATGCAGCGAGTATTGTCTCTGTAATGTCTCTGTTTATATGTGCTGAGAATTTTTGCTGATTACAGCACATTACAAGAGATTCTTACAAATAGATACTTCTTATAACAAAGCAATATTCTCTATTTTATAATAAATCGTGTGCATGTTCATTATTCAACATCGTCGGTTCCCACGCTCAATCGATCGAAATTGGGATTTCAAATAATACACCCTCACGAGAGCTTAATATATGCACAGAATTAGCGACGATAAGGTCCCATGACGGTTAAGTTCGCCATTTGCTTCAAATAATATCACGTTCATTTCTGGCGTATAGACCATTATCACGGCTTCTTATTTCACATCGAGATAAAGAAAGGGTGTACGGAATATGCCGATAACAAATAAACATCACATCGATGTGCAGTATTTGGAAACTAGCCGGTGAAATTCGAACAAATGAAGGTGTTAAGCGATCATTGAGAGACGTAATTATATTCAGTTATCTCTAGAGTCCTGGGACTTTCCCTCCTCTTGGTTTTATAGGAATAATGGGAGCCAGGACTCGTATAGGTGGCAGTTAACTACTAGGTCCGTCCTTCACATTTGGCCCATCCGTCTCTGTATAAATATCGCTGTTTTAGTTTCAAATTCAGTACACATATCAAATGTATATCATATTTTCCTTCATTATTATTTACAAACATGTTTTAAGATTCAAATTCAAAAAGTTTTGGATATTTTCAATAACATTTATCTTGGGAGATTTTTGGAGCAATATTCACTAAAGTATGCTATTAAACCCACTGAATTTTTCGCCATCTATTGACAGTTCTGAAGGCCATTCAGTTGATGCAAAGTGACATCACTGCCATCTTTCTTTCAGTATGAAACCCATTTCAAACAGCTATGATGTATACCGAGCTGAGGTGAGCTTTCCCAAGGCTGTTAATAACCCGTATTGTTTAGTGTCAATAACTTTATTACAATGTCCGATATATTGTAATATTGTCATCACCCATATATTGTATTTTTCTAGTCACCCGTGTATTCGTTTTTCGAATGGTTTATTAATCTGAAATTGATTTGTTTTCCCCTGGTATAATGTATATGCGTATGCATCAACTCGCTTTGTAATATTATAACTTCAAATGTATACTCTCGGCGAGTTTATCATATAGCCGAACTTTATTGTTCCGTTGTATTAAATGGTGCAAAGAGGGCGGTGCAGGGAGGGGTGATACTGCCCCCTGGTGACGCGTACTGCAACTTATCAGGGTATGAATCATTCCATTGCCAAGTTTTTAATATTGGAGTTGGAATGGTGGTAATTTTGATTTATTAGAAATTGCATGAATTATTAAAGCCAATATAAGTTTTGAATGACAAAGCATTTAATCTTATGAACTATTTGAAAGCCCAGAAAATGAGATCTCCAAGTCCAAAATACGTCAGTAAAATTACTTGGCGTCGCATATGTCTCTTGATCCAATGTCATTGTGCTTTTAATTCCCACCGAATCATGTTTATAATTTTTGTGTTACCCATATCTTATTTTGTTATGAAATCATGGCTGTTAGTTTATATTAGTATAACAGTTGTTTTAATTGATCTTTGAACTTAGAACTTCCTGAGATATATGTGACGGACTGTGACATATTTTGTTAGCTGCAATTGGGAAAAACATGTGATGTTTAATAATTATTTTGTTTATTTGATTTGGTAATTTTTGGCATTATATTGAAGGCAGTGACTTTATTTTAAAACAAGCAGAACTCAACTAACTTCTAAGCATTTAGGAACTTGTCAAAACCTAAATATGCTGCGTGTACTTTACATTTTTTATATCTTTACAATCCCCATAAGATGTTATGAATAACTGTACAATTTTTAACTTTGAAATCACCTACATCTCGTATGTATTTTGGTGTATTTCATAATGTTTTTGAAAAGTATTTTGAATAATGACATTTTGTCAACATTTTGTAGAGAAGCACTGCTACAATAAAATATTTTACATTCAATATATCCTTGTAATGGTATCTTAGATTCAAACAAATGTATAAACTGTGATGAAATAGATAATTTAAAGCATCATTTTTATAACTAAAGTAATTGCTGAATTTTGGAATAAACGTTTCCTAAACATAACTGTCAATCAAAATATATGTAAAATGTAAAATAAAGAATTACAAAAATATATTGAAGTCAGCAACTATTTACAATTAATGTTATTTTGAAAATGTGAAAGAAAATGGCAATGAGTAAATGTTATTGTGTTACAGATTTATTTTTCATTTCTGAACTTTAGAGTATCCAGTCGTTCCCTCTGACGTAATATCGACTTATATAACGACTGATGTTTTAACGTAGTGATGGCAGAGTTTAACTACTAAATAACAAGCCCGTCCGAAGAAATTCCCATGAGGGGGGACATTCACGTAGCCCACATAAAGACGTCACGGATCGCTGCAAGTTACTTTTATCTAAGAACAGCTTGATGTTCTGTTGACTTTCTCAATATATCGGCGAAAATGTACCTATCATTTATTTATAAGATATATCTCTGTTATGTAAGATCTATAATCAATGATTATGGGACATCATTAAAATGGGACATCAGGGGGAGAAACCAAAGCTATACCCCTTTTAATTTTGGGTTAATAGTACAATAACGTCATTTCTAAGGGCAATATAGTGAAATATAGTCAAATATTTCACTTTATTATATCACTATCTAGCTAGCGACAGTATGATTGGTCAAAACCGGGTCACATGTCGTGGGATATCTGACGATATTCAATGGCAATGCTGATCAGATAAGACAACCGTGAGATATCTAGCGATATCCCACGTTCCCGGGAATTTTCAAAGAATTTGTTTTCGTTCAGTGTAAATAATTTAGTTCAGTGTAAGTCAAAATGGCAGACGAACCGAGTAGATTCGTAAAAATATCTGAAGACTTAATGACTTAATAATATTAGGGATGTTGAGCTAGACAGTGATATAATGAAACCAATATTTCACTCTATTTTCGGTGAATACCTGTAGCACTTTCACAAGGTGATATTCCACTTGCCCTTCGGGCTTCGTGGAATATCACTTGTGAAAGATGTACAGGTATCCACCTCAAAAGAGTGAAATATTTGTTCAATAGTGCTCGCAGAAACGACGTTATTAGTATTATTACCAACGTTAACGTTAACGACCGAACGGCTGAAATAGCAAGAAAATCTTACGCACTGAACGATATCTAGTTTCCCGGGGAAAATGTGCCGGTCCAGAATATATTCTAGACCGGTCCATATGGACCACCGCTATGACGTCACACATTTCTCAGGTCGATATAGTAAAATGAATGCCTTCTAAACTAGCACTAAAACACCGTGTAAAACCCCTAGAACTGGCCCGGCAAGGTGGTAATAATTGCGAATAGATGGCGTATAAATACAAACACAGCATACATGTAAGCCCCTAAAAATGAAGTGCCATTTTTTGATAAAATGGTTACTAAAGTACGGACGCGTCTACAGTTAAGGGTTTAAAAATACTCCAAATGGTGTAATGTCAAGCCGAAAATAAAAGATCGTTGGCTTTCAATTCATTTGTGGTAAGTACACAATTAACTCAATATTAATGCACTGTACCTTTCTCTTAATTGTGGTCAAGGCAATATTTCACATTGATGCTGGTCTAGAAGTGGAAATAGCCCAGGATTCGTTGATCAACCAGTCATTAAGTTCACATTTACATGGAGAAAGGTTCAACTTTCATTCTGGGTAATTTCCTCCTCTCCTGCTGGCCAGTCTACCTAAATGAGATCCCTTGGACGCTCTATGGTTAAAATCAATAACGATTTCTATAGATAGCCATATTCTGATTTAGCAGACTCGTGTTCGTTGGAGAACTGGATTGTTGTTCACAAAGGGTTAATGGTCAGTGTGGTTTCCAACATGTAATCGGAGTATACCATGCTATACAAGGCGGAATAAATTATTGCCCAATAAGTAATTGTACGTTTTCCAATTTCTTAATTATATTTTGTTACTTAAAAAGCCAATGTTTTTGGTAATACCTGCCTCTAATGACCGATTTACTGTTTACGATAAATGCTTTAATTTTTTTTTATTTAAAATATTCATTTTCAAGTCAGTATTTAAATCATTTGTTAGGGCATACTGTATAATTGTACTGCTTGGTCACACTCGCAAGGCTTTCAGGCAATTCTAAAGTATTAATAAAACCTTTACTTTCGAATTATATAACAATATAGATCTCTGCGTTTTGATTGGTCCAAACGGGTTGTATTTAGTCAATAAATAACATTCCGTGCATGCGGATACATCGGATCAATAGGGGTTCATGTTACAATATATATGAATACGAGCTTATAGGGCAGGACTGTCCATAGCATAACATGGACACGACCCATAAGGTCGTTATTTGCGGAGCAGGAAGCGGAGCACACGTTTTGGCCGGTTTATCATCGCAGCGAAAGAATATTGAAACAAATATTCTGATAATCTACAAAGACAAAGCAGAGGAATGGAATAAAACATCGGAATATAACCCCCTGAAAATAACAGTCCACGACCATAAAGGAGATAAGAAAGATGTTGTTTGTAACAAGATCAACGTTTGTAAAGATCCGGGACTCGTGATCCCCGGATGTGATGTCATTATCTTGACCGTACCGGCGTATGCTCACGGGGTCTACTTGGAGGCTATAAAGGATTATTTACCGGAAGGTGTTACGATAATAGGTCTTCCTGGACAACCGGGGTTTGAATTCGCCGTAAAACAAACCCTTGGAAAGAATGCCGCAAGAAAGTATACGATTGCGTCATTTGAGTCCCTGCCATGGGCGTGCAGGGTTCAAGAGTTCGGACGTCACGTTAATATCCTGGGAACGAAGGATAACATGACAGGGGCCGTATCTAATTGCAACTCCAAAGGGGTAGATATACTACAAGTAATGATCGGGAAGTACCCTAAGCTGAAGATAAAGGGTGATCTTCTGGCAATGTCGCTGATGTCGATAAACAGCACATTACATCCTTGTATTATGTTCGCTAAATGGAACAAATGGGACGAATGCCCCCTAGAGGAACCGCCTCTGTTTTACCAAGGTATAGACAAAAATGCTATACGCCTGCTTACCGATGTCTCGAATGAAATACTGGGGGCTGCCAAAACCATTCAACGTATGGTCAAAGGTGTAGATGTCTCATCCCAGGTTGTGCACATGTACAGTTGGTACCTGACGTCCTACCCTACGTGCATCGAAGATCCTGATACGTTCCTAAGAGCCGTAGCAACAAATCGCGCGTACAAGGGCCTGATTCACCCCGTTGTTAAAACAGACGACGGAGGATACGTCCCAGATTTTGATAGTCGATATCTTACGGAAGATATCCCGTATGGCCTGGCGCCAATCAAAGGAATCTGCGAGATAGCTGGCATATCAACTCCAAATATTGACCGTGTTTTGGCATGGTGCCAAACTAAAATGAAGAAGGAATACATGGTCGACGGAAAAATGACCGGGAAGGATATTGCCTCGACAAGATGCCCTCAGAACTATGGCTTGCAAACAATTAAGGAATTGTTGTTTTAACATGTTTAATGAAGAACGAACGATGTTGGTGTTTTCGACGGAATAATGTGTATTGATTGCTGTACGATCCTTTTAGTGTTCATTCTGTGCGTTCATTGTTAGACAGAGGTCGTTGAGTACACCTCTATTCACATGAAGAAATAGGATCCGCGGATGTGGGGTATTATAATATACATGTAGACCAGGAAACCACCTAAACGTCAGTACGGGTACGTTAAACATGTTTTTCTTTTATCAAAATTTTATTGTTATGGCTAAAGGTCATTCTGACATACAAAGCCATATTTACAAGTAAAGAAAATTTTATTCTTTTCAGCGCCGGTAAAATCTAAAAAATAAACAATTGAAAAAACATCAGTGCAGAATCATAGGGAAAATACATTCATACTTCATTTCACGCAAAATGTTTTATTTAGCAGAAATAGGGAAAAAATGAAATTGGCTATACATGCATAATTCTTATGGTGGGTATACTTTAAAAAATACTACAAAAATTAATTGTTTTGTTTGTGAAATTCAAAGAATTAAATTTCATTAATATGAATCATATTTGGCAATTTTAAGCAGAGCTATTTTGATAGCACATTTGGCCGATTACGATTACCAGACATTCGCCATTCACTTGTTTACTTGGAACTGTATGGTGTCTTATGTAATGGCAATGCACTATTATAAGAACCTCTATAACCTTCTTGATCCCCTAAGGTATTACACTATCCTTATGTCTGTAGGAATATAGTATGATATTCAACATCACTCTACTATACCTTGCATTTGGTTTTCATGAGCAACCCATTTGGCTTCTTGGTAATGATTATGTTATTTGTTTTTATTTGTCTGTTCCTTATTAATGGTTTATCGGATGATTGTTAGATGTTAATAAGGTGCTTTTAAAAATATACTAAACAATATACAATTAGACAAACAGAGTATCTTCTGCATTTCTAGGGGTTAGGTATAGTAGAGTGAACATGTTCAACAGAAATGTAAACGGTTTAAACAATTATATAACGTCAATGCCAATGTCAAAACTTTCTATGATCGCATTACTGAATAATTTCACATGAGAAACGTTGATCTGCCAAGTCCTTGACAATAGCTACTAATACTATGCAGTCCGCAACTAACCCTGTTGCCAGTAGGCAATTACCAATTTCACCTCCAGGTGGCTAATTTCGGGTTAGATAGTATGGCAGATATTGTAGAATGTTACCCTAAACTCGAGTATTCACCAGTTTAAGTGGATCAATATCAATATCACCCTTATGTGTCTGATATTACAAATGAAAATATGTCCAGTAAAATAAAAAATCTCGAATATAAATAATTACGTGAACCACATTTTTAGATGTATTTTTCCATGTAGATCAAATATGATATCATTTTGTCTAAATTTGAATATGAATTTGAATATGATATTTGAATATTTAATGACGTAAATAAAGGTTATTTATACTTACATCTAGCCTCTTGCTCTAGATCCACAGGGAGGTGAATCACCAATACGGTCATGTGACCAGTAGATTGTTGTTTTAGTCTGTATCTTTATTCAGGAGTTGTAGTTACAAAGTGGCAACCAAGCCTCTGTCGAATCTGCTCTTCGGCGGCTGTACGGCGGCCGTAGCTTCAAAAAATAAATATAGAATGTCAACATCGTTTTGGTTTTTCTTTATCTTGTGCTGCATGTTACTGTTTCCACCACTAGGTCACTTTGTTCTACCTTACGTCACTCTACCCCTACCCCTTGTCACACTATCCCAACTTCTGCCACTCCCCAACCCAAAGTCCCTCTGTCCCAACTTACGTCACTCTGCCAGTCTCCCTACCCCAGGTCACTCTGTCCCAATTTACGTCACTCTGCCACTCCCCAGGGTCACTCTGTCCTAACTTACGTCACTATGCCACTCCCCCTACCTCAGGTCACTCTGTCCCAAACTTACGTCACTCTGCCACTCCCCCTACCTCAGGTCACTCTGTCCCAAACTTACGTCACTCTGCCGCTCTCCCTGCCCCAGGTCACTCTGTCCCAACTTACGTCACTCAGCCACTCCCTAAGGTCACCCTGTCCCAACTTACGTCATTCTGCCACTCCCCTGGGTCACTCCCTCCCAACTTGTTACTCTGCCACTCCCCCAGGTCACTCTGTTCCAACTGATGGCACTCTGCCCCACCCCTAAGCAATTCTGTCCCAACTTACGTCACTCTGCCACTCCCCTGGGTCACTCTGTCCCAACTTACGTCCCTCTGCCACTCCCCCAGGTCACTCTGTTCCAACTGATGGCACTCTGCCCCACCCCTAAGCAATTCTGTCTCAACTTACGTCACTCTGCCACTCCCCTGGGTCACTCTGTCCCAACTTACGTTACTCTGTCACTCCCCCAGGTCACTCTGTTCCATCTGATGGCACTCTGCCCCACCCCTAAGCAATTCTGTCCTTACTTACGTCACTCTGCCACTCCCCTGGGTCACCCTGTCCCAACTTACGTCACTCTGCCACTCCCCTTAGTCACTCTGTCCCAACTTACGTTACTCTGCCACTCCCCTGGGTCACTCTGTTCCAACTGATGGTACTCTGCCCCAACCCTAAGCAATTCTGTCTCAACTTACGTCACTCTGCCACTCCCCTGGGTCACTCTGTCCCAACTTACGTCACTCTGCCACTCCCCTGGGTCACTCTGTTCCAATTGATGGCAATTTGCCACACCCCTAAGCAATTCTGTCCCAACTTACGTCACTCTGCCACTCCCCTGGGTCACCCTGTCCCAACTTACGTCACTCTGCCACTCCCCTTAGTCACTCTGTTCCAATTGATGGCAATTTGCCACACCCCTAAGCAATTCTGTCCCAACTTACGTCACTCTGCCACTCCCCTGGGTCACCCTGTCCCAACTTACGTCACTCTGCCACTCCCCTGGGTCACTCTGTTCCAACTGATGGCACTCTGCCCCACCCCTAAGCAATTCTGTCCCAACTTACGTCACTCTGCAACTCCCCTTGGTCACCCTGTCCCAACTTAAGTAACTCTGCCACTCCCCTGGGTCACTCTGTTCCAATTGATGGCAATTTGCCCCACCCCTTAGCAATTCTGTCCCAACTTACGTCACTCTGCCACTCCCCTGGGTCACTCTGTTCCAACTGATGGCACTCTGCCCCACCCCTAAGCAATTCTGTCCCAACTTACGTCACTCTGCAACTCCCCTTGGTCACCCTGTCCCAACTTAAGTAACTCTGCCACTCCCCTGGGTCACTCTGTTCCAATTGATGGCAATTTGCCCCACCCCTAAGCAATTCTGTCCCAACTTACGTCACTCTGCCACTCCCCTGGGTCACTCTGTTCCAACTGATGGCACTCTGCCCCACCCCTAAGCAATTCTGTCCCAACTTACGTCACTCTGCAACTCCCCTTGGTCACCCTGTCCCAACTTAAGTAACTCTGCCACTCCCCTGGGTCACTCTGTTCCAATTGATGGCAATTTGCCCCACCCCTAAGCAATTCTGTCCCAACTTACGTCACTCTGCCACTCCCCTGGGTCACTCTGTTCCAACTGATGGCACTCTGCCCCACCCCTAAGCAAATCTGTCCCACCTCCAAGTCGCAACTCCCCAAATTTCTCTGCCCGGAACTCATCCGTGACGTTGACCAATACGATTAAAATCATCCCAAATTTTCAAATGGTGTACATCTACATTTGTTCACATTTTAATTATATCTAAGGTGACGAATGATAAATAATTATAACATTATCACCAATTCAATCTTTCCCCTTTCAGGCGACGTCTTTACTATGATTACTTCTAGATGATGAATACAAGGATGACACCTTCACACGATATACACAAGGGAGGTATTTTAGATGATGAATACAGAAAAAACACTGAGAGGATCACTAACACATTATCGTACACAAGATGGAACACACAAAGGATGATTTTAAATAATAATGTACAAAGGTATACAGACGATCATGTCTTATATATATTCATATGTTCGAATAGTGGTTAAGGGCCGTATAATTATCACAGCGCGGAAGGTTCAATGTACAAGAAATAACAGAGTGTGTTGCACACGCGCATGGACTACTACATATCTTTTAACCATCAACGGGGACTATTTTCAGGAAATAGAAAAAATACCCTATCACCAAGGAAATCGTTATATTAACGAGTTTCATTGTTTCACGTACACCTAGCGTACTGTTCCTTTGACTAAACATATTTGTAATATGATGCATATGTACATATACATGTATCTATCCTATGTATACTAAATATATACCAATATATGATGGTAGTAACACAAAATAATTTTGGTTCGATCTATTAGAATCTTTCATAATAAACGATGTTATATCATGATACTGCTACTTCCGGCGAATAACACCCAGGAATATTTTTGATATTGAAAAAATCGTATTGCCACGCACACGAAAATCGTAGTCACCTCCCAATCCCGCTCACGAAAATGGTATTGACCTCTCTCGATTTTCGAGAGCGTGATTGGGAGGGGCAATACAACTTTTCTCAATATCAAAAATATTTCGGAATCTGTGTTTTCTCGTATTGGATCTTCTCTTAGCCAAAATCCCGTATCTGATTCCGTATCAGAACTATTCCCGAGGATTTCTCTTGATTTTTACACTTCTTTTTCCATGTTAACACTTTTTAATAAAAGTTGAAAATGTTATAGGATAAATCAAAGTGTATCATTTTATGTCACCATCAAATTTGAAAACGAATAAGTTTCAGAAAAAATATGGGATAAATAGGTTATTGGTGGTCGTGGTGGAATATGAATTTTTCTCGGGAAAATATGATATATTTCTCAAATAATGATATGATATTTTTCTCGGTCAATATCATATTTACCTCGGAATAAAGTTCCTATTCTATCCCTCCCATAAAATAACATCCATATATCTCATTTCTCCCGAGCACTGTTGAGTAACCCTTCAAAATGATCCGTTAGCGTTACAAAGTCGCAGCTAGGAAGGTAGGCTACGATCTAAGTTTTCCATGATTTCTCAAGATGTAGGCAGAATCTTAAATTCAACACTGGGCCGTAATTGTATCACCATTCATTTTTATCCATGAACGGATATGATATCTGCAGAAGCGAGCGTACAATCAGTGGATACAAATCATATCCTGAACAAATCATACGAGGTTCCTTTTATTCCATAGTTAAGGAGGCTTGTAATCTTATTAATCTTTAATTAAAACTTAGTATCTCTTGGTTCAAAGCCACTTTTGATATTAGTTGTACACTTGGACACAATGCTTATTAAGTAGAAGCAGTCGCTGTTGTGCCGCTTGATAATTTAATTAAAGGATAGGTATCGATATGGAGAACTGAATTCAACAATGTTTTTCTCTTAAACCAATCAATGAAAACATTCTGTAAAAACATGGTATTTTATGTAATGTTTACTGATTGACAACAATTTAATGCGAAAATTATTTAGAAATATTTTAAAGAACTGTTTTTGTTAACATTTTTTGTTTTTTTAGTGCAATTGTTTTTGCTCCTTTCTACCAATTCTTGAGAATTAAATAAAATGTCTTTCCGAACCTTGTTGGAACAAAATAGCATGAACAACATGTTTTTAGACCTCTCAATATTAAAGTTATACAAAGAAATTTTTGGTTGATTTTAAAAAAGTATTCAAAAAATTAAAACAAAATCCCCCCAAAATAGATAAAAATCAAGAAAAACCTTTTATTTCATTAACAAGATACTTTTTTAAAATCAACCAAAATTTCCTTTGTACAATTACAATATTGAGAGACCTAAACATGTGTTTATGTCGTTTTGTTCCAATGAGGTTCGGAAAGATGTTTCATTTCACCCTGGAAACATGATACCAAGAACAAAACAAGTGTTTTTTAAGACAAATATCTATTTCAAATTATATTGTTACCATTCAAAACATGGCCATTAAATTGACAATTTTTAAGATTTTCAGAAATTTTTGATGACTGGTTTAAGAGAAACGTGTGTTCAAAAAGTTCGCCATATCGATACCCATTCTTTAATCTGTAATTTGATCTAGCCATACTAGAACAGCCAGATTTTTTCTAAAATGAATATACATGTATCCTCCATTGTGGGTTGAATTGATGAGCATATAATTTGTATTTCAATTTTATCAGATTCTTTAGGACTAGATTTTAACCACGAAAGGTACATGAAATCGTTTTCAAAATCTAAACGGGGCACTTCACTGATAATAGTGGTGTCCCAAAATGTTGACATTTCAGACTTCGAATGTCCATTGAAAAATGAGATGGTACTCCTAGAAGATTAAATGCAAAGAAGAGAAGATTTATCTGTTCACGGGGAATACATTTTCATAATTAAAACGACATTCCAATATGAAAATATCTAACAATATTGAAAAACATATGATACGAGAGGGGCCTACGGAAAAAATTTAAGGGCACGTCATTTTGGGAGTATTTAAAACAAACATTGACATATGACTTTCTTCTGTTCTTCATCTCTACACTGGACACTAAGACATGTAAGACCTTGGTTAAGAGTTTGCGCGTACGTAGAGCGCAGATATCTTGCTTCATCAAGCTTCGTACCTATCCTCGTAGATAGAACGTACTGATTGAGCGTGGGAACCGACGATGGATCGCAGAGTCGAGGGACGAACACTAAGAACATCGTTTTAACAATATGTCACCCCCACATATACATGGTTGTAACAAAAAGAATAAAATTTTCAAATTCATATTTTAAGAAGATATATCAATAAATGTACATTTATTTACAACGTGTAGTAAAAGCCATACAATAAATGATATAAATTAGAACAACATTAAATAGTATAGCTTTGCATGCATGCATGGGGAAAAATAAGATTAATGGAAAACCCCATTTAAAGCTGTCATGAAAGCACAGTGACAATAATATAAGTATATAATAATATAACAACCATAACAATTGCCTAACGTAACATAATAATACAAAGCATTAACATGAAAAAATGTCACCACCTAGTTGCTCACAGTATTATGAGTTCAATCTTAAGTCAGATTTGAATTTCTGAGAACATGTAGATGATTTTAGAAAAATAAATTGGTCAATTTGAAACAAGTTGAAAAAATGCCTTTTTGACCTTGAGAAGGTCATTGAAGTTGAAATCTCAAATCAGATTTGAACTTTTGAGAGAAAAAATGGTATATTTGAAACAAGATGAAAAACACCTTTTTGATCCTTCAACCTTTTTTTACCTTGAAAAGGTCATCGAAGGTCAAATCTTAAATATAAAGTCTGATTTGAACTTCTGTAAACTTGTAGATGATTTTGAAAAATAATGAAGTCAGTCTTAACAGTTGTTATGTTTATGTATCGTTATTGCCTTCATACTATATTGGAGAGTTCATAATTATAATATGCAAGAACGTTGTTAAGTTATTGTAACTTGTAAGAATTTGTAACAGACGCCGATCGCCAACCCCCGATCACCAACCGCCGTCAGAAAACGGAGACCATAACAATATGTCACCACTTGTTGGTGATGACAAAATAATTAAAGTGTATAACATTAAATACATTTATACAAACACAGTAGAGAAATGTGATACAAATATTGAACATCAATAATGTCTAATTATTATTATTTAAAAATTATGCCGTTTCAAATCTTTGTTTAATGTTAATGTTTCTCTTCCATTTTAATGATTTGAACGTTTGATTTGTGTTTATTTTCATACTATTTCAAAGCTAAACAAAGTAAGACAAGAATATGCATTCTTAGCGTACGTATTTGTTCATCCAACTGCAAATTAAATCTGTAAATATTCTCAAAGTGATGCATACCAAAAATGTGTCAAAATTATGGGATGACAAGAAAAGTTGATAGCACAATGATGTTATAACATATCCATGGAATAGCTCATTCATAATGTAACATAATAATGGGTTATCAAAATCGAGTATTGTCACTACCATGGGGTACATGATCATCATGATGTAACACAATTGAGTGATCGGATGCCACAGCCATGGGAGGCCACAATCACCAGGTGCCATAATAATGGGCTACAATTCCATATTTTCACTCAATTGCCCCGATATCAAACGCTCAGACTACATGGCAAACTTGATTGTGATAATAAAAGATGTCGCTGGCGGTTATGCTTAGGCTCAATGATTTCCGGTTCACTGTTGCCTTGTTCTACTTTGGCAGGATCTTTAAATGTTCCATAATCTATTGCATTTCCATTCTTATCCTGAAAACACATATAATTATAGCATTATTCCATGATGAATAATGTGGTATATTCAATTGTTGTATAGTTAGAAATATGTAAGGGTAATTCCAGAAATACATATGCAATTTCCAAATGAACATAAAATCGAAAATATAAAGTTTTGTAATTGTCTTCTTGAACGACCCTCGTACATTTCGAGATACTTGATTGCACATGCGCAGTGCTTCTCACCTTCAGTACAAGTTCTGATTTTTCAATTGTTCTAAATCTCAAACTGAGAAATGAGAAAAGAACAACTAAAACTGCAGTACCCCAATACAACCATTCAAACGACAGTTCCTTTACGAGTATTCCCCCAGCCACTGGCCCAGCAACCAATCCGAGATTATACGAAGCAGCGTATAGACCGTACACTGCCCCGTAGGCAGAGCTGTGTCTGAAATCAGAGATTGTCAACGTGTTAATATACCAATCCGAGATTATACGAAGCAGCGTATAGACCGTACACTGCCCCGTAGGCAGAACTGTGTCTGAAATCAGAGATTGACAACGTGTTAATATATCAATCCGAGATTATACGAAGCAGCGTATAGACCGTACACTGCCCCGTAGGCAGAGCTGTGTCTGAAATCAGAGGTTGTCAACGTGTTAATATACCAATCCGAGATTATACGAAGCAGCGTATAGACCGTACACTGCCCCGTAGGCAGAGCTGTGTCTGAAATCAGAGATTGTCAACGTGTTAATATATCAATCCGAGATTATACGAAGCAGCGTATAGACCGTACACTGCCCCGTAGGCAGAGCTGTGTCTGAAATCAGAGATTGTCAACGTGTTAATATACCAATCCGAGATTATACGAAGCAGCGTATAGACCGTACACTGCCCCGTAGGCAGAACTGTGTCTGAAATCAGAGATTGACAACGTGTTAATATACCAATCCGAGATTATACGAAGCAGCGTATAGACCGTACACTGCCCCGTAGGCAGAGCTGTGTCTGAAATCAGAGATTGTCAACGTGTTAATATACCAGTCCGAGATTATACGAAGCAGCGTACAGACCGTACACTGCCCCGTAGGCAGAGCTGTGTCTGAAATCAGAGGTTGTCAACGTGTTAATATACCAATCCGAGATTATACGAAGCAGCGTATAGACCGTACACTGCCCCGTAGGCAGAGCTGTGTCTGAAATCAGAGGTTGTCAACGTTTTAATATACCAATCCGAGATTATACGAAGCAGCGTATAGACCGTACACTGCCCCGTAGGCAGAGCTGTGTCTGAAATCAGAGATTGTCAACGTGTTAATATACCAATCCGAGATTATACGAAGCAGCGTATAGACCGTACACTGCCCCGTAGGCAGAGCTGTGTCTGAAATCAGAGATTGTCAACGTGTTAATATACCAGTCCGAGATTATACGAAGCAGCGTATAGACCGTACACTGCCCCGTAGGCAGAGCTGTGTCTGAAATCAGAGATTGTCAACGTGTTAATATACCAGTCCGAGATTATACGAAGCAGCGTATAGACCGTACACTGCCCCGTAGGCAGAGCTGTGTCTGAAATCAGAGATTGTCAACGTGTTAATATACCAATCCGAGATTATACAAAGCAGCGTATAGACCGTACACTGCCCCGTAGGCAGAGCTGTGTCTGAAATCAGAGGTTGTCAACGTGTTAATATACCAATCCGAGATTATACGAAGCAGCGTATAGACCGTACACTGCCCCGTAGGCAGAGCTGTGTCTGAAATCAGAGATTGTCAACGTGTTAATATACCATTCCGAGATTATACGAAGCAGCGTATAGACCGTACACTGCCCCGTAGGCAGAGCTGTGTCTGAAATCAGAGATTGTCAACGTGTTAATATATCAATCCGAGATTATACGAAGCAGCGTATAGACCGTACACTGCCCCGTAGGCAGAGCTGTGTCTGAAATCGGAGGTTGTCAACGTGTTGATATACCAATCCGAGATTATACGAAGCAGCGTATAGACCGTACACTGTCCCGTAGGCAGAGCTGTGTCTGAAATCAGAGGTTGTCAACGTGTTAATATACCAATCCGAGATTATACAAAGCAGCGTATAGACCGTACACTGCCCCGTAGGCAGAGCTGTGTCTGAAATCAGAGGTTGTCAACGTTTTAATATACCAATCCGAGATTATACGAAGCAGCGTATAGACCGTACACTGCCCCGTAGGCAGAGCTGTGTCTGAAATCAGAGATTGTCAACGTGTTAATATACCAGTCCGAGATTATACGAAGCAGGGTATAGACCGTACACTGCCCCGTAGGCAGAGCTGTGTCTGAAATCAGAGATTGTCAACGTGTTAATATACCAGTCCGAGATTATACGAAGCAGCGTATAGACCGTACACTGCCCCGTAGGCAGAGCTGTGTCTGAAATCAGAGATTGTCAACGTGTTAATATATCAATCCGAGATTATACGAAGCAGCGTATAGACCGTACACTGCCCCGTAGGCAGAGCTGTGTCTGAAATCGGAGGTTGTCAACGTGTTAATATACCAATCCGAGATTATACGAAGCAGCGTATAGACCGTACACTGCCCCGTAGGCAGAGCTGTGTCTGAAATCAGAGGTTGTCAACGTGTTAATATACCAATCCGAGATTATACAAAGCAGCGTACAGACCGTACACTGCCCCGTAGGCAGAGCTGTGTCTGAAATCAGAGGTTGTCAACGTGTTAATATACCAATCCGAGATTATACGAAGCAGCGTATAGACCGTACACTGCCCCGTAGGCAGAGCTGTGTCTGAAATCAGAGATTGTCAACGTGTTAATATACCAATCCGAGATTATACGAAGCAGCGTATAGACCGTACACTGCCCCGTAGGCAGAGCTGTGTCTGAAATCAGAGGTTGTCAACGTGTTAATATACCAGTCCGAGATTATACGAAGCAGCGTATAGACCGTACACTGCCCCGTAGGCAGAGCTGTGTCTGAAATCAGAGGTTGTCAACGTGTTAATATACCAATCCGAGATTATACGAAGCAGCGTATAGACCGTACACTGCCCCATAGGCAGAGCTGTGTCTGAAATCAGAGATTGTCAACGTGTTAATATACCAGTCCGAGATTATACGAAGCAGCGTATAGACCGTACACTGCCCTGTAGGCAGAGCTGTGTCTGAAATCAGAGATTGTCAATGTGTTAATTGTTTCGAACTCAAGCAGAAAGGGTATACAAATACATATTATGTCATTAATATCATTGTTCTTTTATCGGGATAATATTTGAGCATAGTATATACCTTAGGTCTACCAAGTAAGCTAACAGTGGACTAAGCACAGCTAAGACTGCTCCATACCCAATTCTGGCCAGCCCCTCTGTGCCCACTACCATCCAGATATGTGTACAAAAAGGATACTGGAATACAAATAATATATGATTCACCGAAAAATGGATATAAAAGAAAATATATTATGCAGAAGTAAGAGATCAAATTGGGCCATCGTATAAATGTATGTAAATCAGATAAAATGCATGCGCAACAATAAACTATGTTACCAGAAAAAAGGAAGACCGAATCAGTGATTTCGTGAAAGTGTCGTCGGCAATCTTCGTCAATTTCCGTGATTGGGAAAATAAATTCCCGCGTAAATTATTGTGTTCATTGTACCTTCTGATTTAGGAGTAACAAGTCAGTAATTTACATAAAATGGCTATCAATTGCCTTGAATGGTGAACTCTGGAAGGGATTTTATATATCATTGATAGGTTCATATTATGTACAATCTCTGACATGTGCACATGTAGAACAAAATCACTGATGGATGCGACTAATTTATTAAAACGCATCATTTCAATAGAGGCGTTTTATGTTTTATCCTAGGAATAATCTTGTGTTTTTCTGATATTTTTGATAGAATAAAGACCTCTTGGTAATCTTACTGCAATCATTCCAAGTGCGTAGACAATTAGTCCGCTCATACAGAAAGTCCATCTGAAATAAGAAAACACAAGAATTGTCCGCAAGGGAATATTGTCACTGTTTGTCTCAATACTGATGTGGGTTGATAAGTATACAATAGCTTCACTTTTCTAAAAATCGTATAGCAGTTAGTGTTGGAAAGAAATATAGAAAATATGTCTGTTCGAATTTTAAGGCAGTTAACCGCGTCTAGTTTTAGATTCTGGTTCTTCAGTGAATTTATTGGCTTAAATTCTTCAATAGTCAATGGCACTGCAAGGGCATACACGAAGCAAATCCCTTTGAACATTTTGCTAAGTTGTGCCAGGTATATACACCATTGTCTTGTATCCTAGCCTTTAAATTTAGACTATCGCCCTCATTAGAATACTTGATACACGACATTCGTGATTAAAATCATCCACAATTCTTCCCGTGATTTGTCAGTATCACTTATACCTATACCTGCCAATCTGCACGGCGATGAGACCAGTCACGGCTTGAGAAATCAATTGTAAGACTGCCCCAATGACCAATATCAACCCTGCCAGAAAAAATATTAAAACGTCATGCACCGTTACTAACATAAACAAGTTAAATCGGTTTTGCAGCCAGTGCATTGCATTTCAAATCCTAGTTTAAGTAGTTTTTCCAATTATGTATTTCTATTTAATTTGCGTTAGTTTAAAGCCAGCAAATGCTTTTACTCAGTCTCAACTCAAACTCAACCAGCGCCAGTTTGAAAAGAGGACTTTTATTCCGGGGGGAGCTTACAATTCTGTTTTTGTTACAGTAGGAATTTTCTTTTAAATCATCGACAACTGATTTTTCATTTTAATTAATGCTCAATCAGTTCCACTCAGATATCGGGACAATAACAACAGATGGACAATACTTCCCGTCGTTCATCTTACCAATATTCCATTGCTCGGCATGCAGTGTATCTAGCATCCATGCAGGGCCCGTTGTTATGACAACACCCAACGCCAAATTTAAAATAAAGTTACTACCTGAAATAGTGAAGTTTTCTAGATCACAGTTTATTGTACTTTGAGGTGAAAAAAAAAGATATTAATACTTGGCAATTTGGATTGGCTAACCCAATTTTGATCAGAAGTTGTCTAATGGAGATATAAAGAATATAGAAATATATAAAAGTGACTAAGCAAGCTTCGCATGGTTATATAAAGTCATACTTCTAGAATCGTTGTTTCAGATTATTCAAACAAACCAAGAAAAAATAACTACCTAACGCTATTAAAATGTAAGGATCTTTTATCAGTTTCGGGAATTTCCGTAAATCAGATCCCGAATGCTCCTCTTTTTTGGTGTCTGGAAGCACAATTAATAGTCGGAGAATTCCGTCGAATAGCATCAGAGCGGCGAGTATGAAAAATGGCGCCTTTCGTCCAAGAAACTGGTAGCAAGTACTTCCGAATGGAAATCCAACTGGAAAATAAAAAAATAAAACGCACGTTAATTTTAAGTTAAGATTCATAGACAAACTGAAGTGACTTTTTATATTTACGCAAAGGCCGGATTACAGAGACGGCCTTGGTTGAAGGTAAGTTAAGGCCTCAGTCACAATTGCTCTACGGGGCCGTATGACGGGCGTAGCTTAACAAAATCGATGCTGTGCACCAATTAACATGCAAAATGCACCACCTGCCATTTGTTACGTACGGTGGTCGTAACTTAAAATCGATATAAGAAATCAATATCCTATATACTATATACTGTTTATCCCTATATTTTATGCTGCATTTTTCTCTCGATTTGGGGAAGCAACGACCGCCGTCGTTTGCCGTAGATCAAATAAGAATGTGACAGTAACCTAAAACCTGACCTTTAGATGATAGGCATGACATGGAATTTAAGGGTAAGTGAATGGTGATGTGGTTAAATGTTAATCGACAATTCCATGAATATTGATAAAACGTCTCCTCTTATGGGTATAGAAGTTTATGTAAAACTCACGGATCATTCCAAGAGAGAGCCCTCCGAATGCAATACCATTTGCTCTTGCTCTCTCGCTATCCTTCGGGAATGCACAAGCCAGTAGCGCTAACCCTAAAAAGCGTTAAGTAATGCTGTATACAAGCATGGTAATTAAGTGAAGCTGACCGACTGCCAACCAATGAAGGAGTTATATAAGTTATAAATAATCAATCCAATGTAATCATATCGGGATAACTCCACAGATGGCGCTAGTGAAAAGGTAGAAGACAAAAAATCTAAATTTAAAATCGGGATGATGGTTGATTGAAATCAATATTTATCAGTGCAATCACCAGTGAAAATGTACAGATTTTATATTTTATTTTGTTTATCTCGTGTGTATATAATTTTACAAAAAGTATGGCGAAATGATTCGGTTCACTTCAAATATTTGACTTTTTGTGACGGTGGTCCTGAGTTTGAAATCTATTGAAAATTGTTTAAAATTCGGATAGATGGCGGAAAAAGCAGTCCTATCTTTTTTTCTCAATGGGTGTTCTATGCAATTTTTGTTTTGATTTGAAAGGGGACATATGGAGCTATCCCGTGGTATATGGGGTTATGTACCGAAAATCCTCGTTTTTTCATAATCAATCCAAAGATTTCAATATTTTCACATTGGATTACATTACAGCATTTATCTGTGGAATTGTCCCATCTCGAACAGGGACTAGACAAGTGCACCGGAAATTAGAGTCCAACTAACGAGCACTCCCCAAAAATGATATAGAAAGTAACAATGCAATCACGTATTCTAATAAGAGAAGACTCTAAGACGATCAGCTCAGCTCATATTGACACAAATGTGAGAGCAAGAACAGTACACAGACAATCTCAAACAATAACGTAGGGTACCGTAAAAATGGTACAGTAGGATATCGTAAAAATGGTACCGTAGGGTACCGTAAAAATGGTACCGTAGGATGCCGTAAAAATGGTACCGTAGGATGCCGTAAAAATAGTACCGTACGGTACCATAGACTAGAACTGTACTGTACGGTACCATAGACTAGAACAGTACCGTACGGTACAATGAACACTGTACGGTACCATACTCGAACGATATCGTGCGGTACGATACTCTCAATTAGTATCTCTTGTACCCTTATTCCAACTTGCACACAGATTCAAATATATTTCACAAAACACATGCACATACCTAAATTAACGGTCGGTACCACGGCAACAAACATTTTACAATGTGTAAGTATGTTATATCTTTAAGTTGTATGATATTCATGTTTTGTTGGAATGTCGTTCTCCTGTTTCTATCTTTCAAACATCAAATTTCTAAAATTGGGGTATTCTTTTCTTTACTTCCTTGACACTGCATGAAAAAAACGTCGGGTCATGAAATGATCTAACCTGCTACTATTAATTGGTAACGTAAATTTCACAAATTCAGCCTAACCTGATACCACTGAGAAACTTGAACCGATGGCTTGCACTATTCTCGCCATGAGAAACATCTCTAGTCGGTATCCAAAGGCGAAACCTAAAACAAAACATGAATTGAAATTCAGGGAAACAAGTGGTCTATTTTGCAACATTCTGAGTAAGGAAATTAAAAAAATCAATAGTTGTTACTATGGCAACCGTGACGTCATCATGAAAGACCGATAGACTTACGTATACACCCCATGGGACTAAATACGAGTGTGTTGCCATAGTAATATTCAAAAATAAGTTCAGACAAAACATAATAGAAGAAGAAAATTAAGTTAAAGCCGTTCGTCTTAAAGAGGACAAGACATGAACAACGGAAAATATTGACCATCATCTCCGTGACTGTTTATCATCAATAAACGAGACCAATAAAATTATTTATCTGTTTATCGTGCCTTATCTCGCATCATCAGATACAACGTCAGTACTTGTGTTTGTACTGTGGGCTATTAAATTGAAATGGTTCCCATCATAATATAGACCCGATACGCAATACCAGAAAACTGCGTGTCTCAGGACGATTTAAACTTAAATATAACTCTTCAAAGCAGGCCGAGATCTTGACGTCATATTAATCCTCTTGTTAAGCCTACATGACGTGTTCATAAAATATAAAGATTCAATGTACGAGTAGACTTTGGAAACAGGACGAAATTGTATCATCAGAACGGAAAACGTCAAATTATTCCAACATTGCAGATTCACTAAATAGAACATAGCAACAAGAATTTATAAAAAGGACTTAAAATTAAAACGTTCAATGAAATAAAATGGCAAAAAGGCACGAGCTAAAACGATCCCAGAAGCAGCTACAAATAGCAATGATCAGCGACGGTATGATGCGGATGTATCAAAGAAATCGATCACACCAGCGTGAACTTGGGGATAAGTTGAACGTCCTCGAAAAGGAATACCGCAAGCGTATCAACAAAGTACAACAAAATATATACGAGATATCTGAAGAAGAAATTCCAAGAATGGATTCAATTTTGCGACCAAAGTATTTCAACTACGCGGAATTTTATCCAAATGGCTGTTTATTACCACGTGTCTCAGACGGAGAAGTTAGACGTAAGCAAAACGTCACATACCGTCAAATGTCAAAGAACGTGTACATGAAGTGAATGACGACATCGACTATACGTGACACGTGTATCTTCAATCAAAATCATCAAACTTACCCTAAGAAAACGAAACTTAGGGGAACATCTGAACATCATTGAGAGACTTGGCTAAATGTAAAAGGAGTCAAGAGCACGATATGATGACTTCTCGATAGACAGATTAACGCAAAATGTTTAAAGTGACAACAAAGACATATCGGACCTTCCATAAAGACATTATACCTTGTTTAGGCATATACAGGGCGTCAAATAAGTCTGTTCTCCCCCCTTAAGTTTTTTATTTCAGAAATAACATAGGGTTGGTATACACCATCTTAAAGGGAATTCAATTTGCTGATCACACACCAAATTTCAGAGTGATTGGTTAAATTCCCAAATTTTTAGTATTTTTAGTGATGTCCATATTTCACTTTTTTAATAGTCTGTATGCCTCCCAAAGCAGCCCGGATGGCCTCAATTCTACAAGGATATGATCCCGTTTAAATCATACAGAACATTTAATTTTGGCTGTTATCAACTATTTTGTGATTAAAGATGACCCTGCTTCAAAAGCTCCCCTGAATGTAACACATTTTACTCTGTAACGATATTGAGAAACATCGAAATCGCCCAATGTTGGCATCGTCACTGCAGTATCATTTTCACTTTTCAATCACTATTACCTGGTTATATTACTTGTTTTGACGTAATCAAAGGTCAACTACAATCTTACAAGAAACAGTGTAGCAATTTTATTAGGAGTTTATGATTGATTTCTTAAAGGCGATCAGCATTTTCCATAAGCTTCAAAATGATATATGGGAAAGTATGATAAATTTAAAGATAAAAAAGGGGGAGAACAGACTTATTTGACACCCTGTATATTCTCAGCAAAATACATCGCCAAATAATGGAACATCTTGATGAGGATAAAAACTGTCCAAGATTAGGAAACACTAAGATTGATTGGCCAGTTAACTATTTGATATTCTTTTGCAATCACGTACCATAACTCTGACAGCATATTAAAGAATCTAAAAACCTGAGGTTTGAGTGACTTTTGAGTTAAAGGTATGTTTCTCAGATTCGTGGTAATTGAGATTTTAAGAAACACATTTTCACTTACTTATTGTTGCTAGGAAGTTTGCCAGGCAACCCAGAACCATTGGATATTTGTGACCATACCTGAAATACAAATCAGTAAAGAAGCATTTGTCCTGTTTGGATTTTAGGATTTGATTGGGGAATTTTTTGATTAACGCCTAGTGATGTCACCCGCTTTGAGTGTCTTACAACCAGACTAAAAGCTGAGCCGATTTAATAACAATAATTATCCTTTCAGTTTCTATTTAACCTACCTGTCAACTATGAACCCTACTATGATATTTGCGAGAATCTCAGTTCCCGGCTTTATTGCGAGGATTAGTCCAACCTGGGGGGATTTCTCAATTCGCCTGCGGCTTTCCTCCGTCCCTTTAGCTGCCTCTGAAGTCGTTGTATTTGGGCTTGTGGTATTAGGGACGCTATATAGACCTTGCTCCTTGTCAATACTATGAAGAATATCAGGTAAGATCGGTTCTGAAATGTTAAATAAGTCAAGTGTCCGTAGTTCTGATATAAGATTATCCAAAAATGTTTTCAGCGAGTTAGATTGTATTCAATAAATGAAATAAATATTCCATCAAAAATCCTGAAAAAAACTCAAATCCTCAAATACCATTGCCCACGTCTAAAGATGAATGATTCATATATGTATTATATACCATTTTAAGGATAAATTATATCGTGGCGTTAGAGACATAAATTGACACCAGGGGTGCCGTGAGCAACCAAAATTTTGCACTATACTTGTTTGAATGTACCTCTTTTGAAGGTGCCAACGTTCTTTCCCTCGATTTTTCCATAATTTGGAAATCTGCAGTTAATAATATTTTGGTCGCTCATGACATCCCTATTGCGAAAAAGTTCTCGCACTACACGAAACAAACTACTTTTTAAGTTGACGTTTCTCTTTTTATAAACTCTCTCATCTGTGTCGGGTGATTATTATTTCAATTTATCCAAAAGCGTTTTCCGGTAGCGAGTTAGATTATATTCATTAAATAAATATTTCATCAGAAATTATTCTTGAATTATATCCAGTTACAAAACCCTACTTACCCAATGTTGTTAACATAATGAGGTCAAGCATCATAGCTATGAAGACAACTACGATGATGAGAGTCTTGGACTTACGACATTCCGTGCACGTCATGGTTGCTTTTTCTGAAAAATCAAGAATGCACAATGGATTTGTTTTGGCATGTTATGGATATGGGGTATAAACTTGGGAAATACTGTTGGGATAATCTCAATATCCTGAAACTCGTAAACGATAATTTGTATGTATATGCGTCGTCCCTAGACATTATGATTTGGGGCATTTTTAAGACGGATCCGCGTTTTAACAGTTTTCATGTAGCTTCTCACAATTAAGATTATCAATAATTGATTAAAACGTGTAATATATATTTCAAAATATAATGTGGGTAAACAAACATTGCGCTAGAATATAAAATAGTTCTGATATATGTTTTGTGACAATTTTGTTGAAATGACCTTCCCAAACCAAAATGTTTTTTTTTCATATTTTCTGAAAAACAATTCAATCTGCGAAATTGTAAGACTATATAATGCCCAATATGGTATGATCTATAGACCTATTTGACAATCGTTAAGGTAGTTTTGTATGATTACAAATTAATTAAGATGGCTTTATCATTCAAGTTACATTTTATATTCAGATAATTATTTCCTGCAAGGTCTACCCATTTTTGCACATTGTAATCAACCTGTATTAAAAATATATTAATGAGAAATGTACTTTCCCACTTTAGAGCAATTTATTGGGCACATTTTCTGAAAAATTCAAAAGATTCTGTTCAGTGACCTTTCCTAAGCTCCTACTTTTAGCAATTATTCAGTCACACTTTCAAAGGGCTAAAAAGGATATTTCATCATGTTTAGGGTCATTCTGACCATGCACATTGTGATCCTGGTCATGTAAATGATATGTGGAACTAGTTAAGACTGACTGGATGTCAAAACAGAACTGTGTTATCATGGTTCAAAAAAATTTGAAATCCAGCATGGTTTTGTCACTTCCTGTTTATTCATTTCCTGTTAATAAGTACCACGGCACCTTAATGTATTTGGAATCAGGTCCACACAGAATGACCTATCAACTTTCCCGAAATTTGCGTATTTATCACGCATTGGCTGAAGAAATTGAAGTCACACCAGTTTCTTGCGTGAAAGATTGTGTCACTTGTGACATCATTTCTAATCATTTCTGATTATTATGAAGCAAAAGTATTTCAGGAGAAGACAAAAAAGAACGCCGAGAAAACTAACACAGTTCGTTCTGAATTCTCCCGCGAATTGCGTATATGTCGATGTGATCTGATAAGATCCTTCAGACCAAGTGTACATCTTACTTTCAGAAATCAAGAACATCGAAATAAACGTCACCAATTCTCACCTGTAAATTGTACAGAAATAGATTCAACCTGAATCACATCGATCTTTACCGAAAACTCGATCTGAAACAAAATGAAGGACGTTTATTAGTTTATTCCAGAGCAATATAGCTTACCTCGGTCAGTGAACTATTCTATCTGGTTTTCTAAAATTGTCCCACGTCTCTCAGTGGATAGCCCAAAACTCTGTAACTATCAAATGTCCGAAATGTACACAAATGTACATAGATTACAAACAGGATCGTCTTGTCGTATTGTACATGTATTAGCCAGTTTTATTGGTAAATAGTCGTTCCAGAACAATGAATGCGTGACCTTTATGTCGAGTATACAATTGAAGAATAATCCATGTATTTAGTCATGCGTGGAGGAAATCACCCTTTATGAAATTTAATGATCGTTTCTCTAAAATTACCAAAAATACTCTAATTTCGCCGAGCCAATCAAAATCAATCTTTGGTTAATATGAGTATCATTATAAATTAAAAATATAAGTCAATCTCTACAATGAGCTGTGATTTGTTTGATGCGGTGCCGTAAACTGTTAAATCATCGCTCTTCTTCAGAGGGTGTTTCACCAGCTATTGCGTACAGGGTAGGCATATGGGAAATTTGTAGGTCGTTATGTAATCTGTCCAGTGCAGAACAACTTGGCCCACTCATAAAATTGGTGCATTACCTTGAGCTGGGAGATATTCTAAACAGGTACTGTATGTTTACATGTCTATTGCTATTGGATGCGGGTTCCAATATATATAATTCAACATAAGTTGGTTGAAGAAGTTCCATATTTTATTATAATGCACATGTTATTATCTGGTACAAAATTAGAGTCCATTTCACTGCTTCATTTCGTCAGTAGAACGGCAAAAATAAGAAATTGGGAGACCATTGTGCAATAATATATGCAAAGGTTTATTCATAATGTACATTAATGACATTTGTATATCTTGGATTGCTTCTAGTTTGGCTTATAAAGTGTGTGGCCTCTTATATTTGGATGTTTCTCTGCCATGTTATTTTCAATAAGATTAACATGGCTGAAATTCTTCAAATTACAAGACGGCACAGGCTTATTGCACAAAAAACTAAAAAATCTGAAATATACAAATGTCATTCATGTACATTATGAATATACTTTTCCATATATTATTGCACAATGGTCTCCCCAATTTCTTATTTTTGCCGTTCTACTGACGAAATGAAGCAGTGAAATGGACTCTAAGTATGAAAGCATGTGTGTATTTTCTTTAATTTTTCAGGAAACCATCATTACACTGTCTACTTTTAGTAGGTCAACAGGTCAATGGTAGCTCCTGTGTTGTCTTGAAAGACAACTGACAATTGTCTGAAAGAAAAATTTTGAAAATAGAAAGTGTGAAATATCAGAATTTCCTGGAGTTCCCATTGAACTCCTACCAGATATTTTAAATATTCTTAATGTTATTTTCCAGCTGTACCTTAAGGTGCTATGGAAGTTAACAGGAAATGACAAAACAGGAAGTGACAAATTTTTGGGCATTTTTAGACATTTTTTGAACAAAGATAACAGAGTTCTGGTTTGACCTCCAGTCAATTCAACTAGTTCCAAATACCATTTACAGGTCCAGGATCACAATGTTTACGGTCAGAATGACCCTAAACATGATGAAATAACCTTTTCAGCCCTATGAAAATGTGACTGAAAAATAGCTAAAAGTTGGAGGTGGGAAACGTCACTGAACAGAATCTTTTGAATTTTTCAGAAAATGTGCCCAATATATTGCTCTAAATGGTACAATCTTTGAAAATTTGATATCATTCATAGAAAAAGGAAAAAAGAAAAAACTGATCTATTTTCCTTTTTATGACCGCAATTTTTGTTTACGACAATTTTCTAAAATTTCAAAGATTGTATCAGTTTGAGCATTATATTGGGCACATTTTCTGAAAAATTCATAAGATTCTGTTCAGTGACCTTCCCTAGCTCCTACTTTTAGCTTTTTTTCAGTCACACTTTCAAAGGGCTTAAAAGGTCATTTCAATATGTTTAGGGTCATTCTGACCATGTACATTGTGATCCTGGTCATGTAAATGATATGTGGAAATAGTTAAAGTGACTGGAGGTCAAACCAGAACTCTGTTATCTTTCTTCAAAAAATGTCTAAAAATGCAAAATATTTTTTCACTTCCTGTTTCGTCATTTCCTGTTAACTTCCATGGCACCTTAAGGTACAAAACTGAAACATGTCTTCGACAATGCACGGAATAAGACGCGTGTACCTGAAAATAACAGGACGCCAATAAGGAAGCTCTTAAAATTCATGAAAATGTTGATAACCCGTAATGATCTGCAGCGGACCGAACAAACAACTATTGAGACATGTTCTTTGGCTAGACACATTGGCCCACATATTGAAACTCGATACCGGAAAGTTAACAGTAAACAAAAATGCCGCGTATTTGTATAATAGCAGTGTGTAAACAAAAACAACAACATAGAACCATTGTTGCTGTAGGATTAAAAATTCAGCCTATATCGAAAAAATAGTGAATTGATGAGTGCAATGGTATACGTGTACTGCACTCCTCATACTTGTTACCGAAACGGAACGATCCATTTCGGTAACAAAATGTCGAAACCTCGAAGTTACGATTTTCCCTTTTCCTTAGATGTAGGCAGAATATCTACGTCATTTTTACATTTACGAACAAAAAGTTCAGAACACGACAAAATCATCGTTCACTCTTTGCTACATAAACTAGACTTCAAGAACGCTTAAAATCTGCACTTTAATGACCCGGTGTAAAAGGGTAGGAGGTCCTATTAAATTATGGTCCTACTTTCCATTGATTTATATGGTGACCTAAATACAACTCTCCCTAATCATCGTATCCACAATCAGGGCCAGTAAGGGCCTTTAAGAAAGGGGACCATAATCCCCAGGGGACCATCATTTCTTTCACACCGGTTCCATTTCTGTTGTCTTCAACGAAATTGATGTTTGGACCATCAGACACCGTTCCCGAGCTATGCTCTTTAATAAAACACAATGCTTGAAAATATCAATTTAAAACACAATCAAACCCATTTAAATCATTCGTAATCTTACCTTTGTTTGATGTAGAAATTAAAAGTATTACTCCCGGCTAACATTCTAAAATGGCAAGAAACGGAAATTAACATTGTTTTTATGTTGCTTTACATTTGCCACAATTTTGTCATAAATAATGTTCTACTTTTTTCAACTTTCGATCTTAGGCTGTCATGACATTCTTAAAACAAAAAAGGAGACATTGATGTCATTGTTAACAAGTATGATCGTTTAAGAGGGATCGCATGGAATCCACTTTTCTATCCTAATACCCAAACAAACGTTTGCATAATTAAAGACATTATGTTACAGTTCAAGTTCCACTTGAACGTTTAACTACTGAAATATTAATTATGGTCATTTAAGAATTTGTTCTCGACTCTCGTTTATAGTATTCACTTGTCTCGTCTAGTATAAATGTAATAGAGAAATAATTGTAATTAGGTCCTTTGAACCAATGAACCTTGAAATGAGATAGCGACCCAGAGATGTAATAGGAACCAAACAATAAGGGCAATGTGATCCACAGGCCCATGATACCCCAAATTCACTTTCGAGGTATCTTCAAATCACATACCTTGACCTTCCGGCCTTTAGTCGCATTTTTCAGTCTGCAACAGGCATTACATTGATCCAGCTAGACAATATCCAGGGGTGCATGTCATTCACTTGCCCTTTGAGTAAAAACGTAAGAGGAAAATACAGAGTTTTGAGCCCCTGAAAGGACGACCAAATGAGAAAGGGATGGCATTATGGCAATCCCTAATGGCTATAATACACGTAACGTACGAGTTAAAAATCTTAAAACACGTGGCTTGAGCTTCCTACTTTTCGAATAGATGTCTTTAACAGCCATTGCCCATGTACTGTAAAACAGATTAACCCCAGGGATCGAGGGATGCATCATAAATTAAAGACAAGTGGTGATGAAGTAACAGATATGAGACAACATAGTACCTCGGACAGGTTGAATGATGCAGTTATGTTTTTACTCTATATTTGCAATGGAACAACCATTCTTATTGAAATTGGTTATTCATTGTATTCGTCTTCAATATTATTATAGTGCATTAGGTCAAAGAAAGACTTATCACTCTGGGTCACGTTTCCTCTGATTACGCACTGAATTTTTCCGCCACCGTCACTCGACATGCAACCCCGTGGCACGGAATTTGTAAACATGTATAAATACTAAAAAACTAAGATATAGAGCAAAGACATTTTGAATGATATTTCCTGAAATGAAATGTATTTTCTAGACGATGTCCCCAAAAGACAGTGACAGCCTTCGTGACGCTTCGTCCCCAATGGATGGCTGTGACGATGTAACAATAAAAGAAACTTGTCTCCCTAAAACAGAGCAACAAAATAAAGCTGTTAAGTGCGTGTCAAAAACACCAAAAGGGACGCCTTCCAAACACTTGGTGACGATCGTATTATTCGTTGCAATGATGCTAGATGTTATGTTAATGACCAGCATAGGCAAGTATAAGGTCGTGGTGGGGAATAGTTGCTTTGGGGTCCATTAATTACTTTCGCTTGATTCTGAAACGTATTGCTAGATGTTATGTTGATGACCAGTACAGGCAAGTATAAAAGTCGTGGAAAACGCCCGGCCGATTGAGTATATTTTGTTCAAAAGTGAATACAATTTTGAACAAAATACTCATTTGGCCGGGCGCCGACCGATGAATTGGTGCAAATAAGACATAAATTACCTTCACCTGATTCTAAAATGTATTGTAATACTTAACTTTTGGTGGATTGCATAATTGAGATGATCTATCGCATTATGTTAACAATATGTGTTTAGTTCATTCGACTCTCCAAGGAGTAAAATGTAACGATTGTTACTTGGAAATTGAATTTCCCATTGTCGTTATGGTTACTCGATTTGTTTTCCAGATCCCATTATCCCAGACATTCTCCATAAAATCCACGCAAACCATATCTTCTTTACATATTTGAATTTCACAGACGGCCACCTAATAAATGGAACTACAAACGAAACTGCATACCATTCATCATTTGGATATATCAAACAAACAAATTGCTCTAACGTGACCGATCGCCATGGTATTCTAAATGTGGAATTCCTAAACAGGTCAGTCGAAATACCAAGGACAAAGCAAAGGCATAAACAAACACGAATCTTCAACAGAGACCCTATAGTTCACTTCAAGTGTGTCAACGACAGTGAAGACACAAGAAATGAGTTCGGCTTCATGGCAGTACAGACGGAAATTGGGATTATGGTTGCTGGGAAACCTGCTGTTGAGATGTTTACTAACATTGCGGTTGGATTCCTTGTGAATAGATGCGGCCCTCGAGTCCCTATGCTGCTGGGTTTTTTATTCACGTTCCTTTCAACCGTAGGTATGTAATGCCTTCGTCACATTTGATCTAAGACAACCGTATGGCAGACGTAGCTTCCAAAAACGAGAAAATGCAGCATAAAATATAGGGATAAGCAGTACCGTGTAGATTTTCTATATATCGATTTTGTGAAGCTACGGCCACCGTACGACCGCCGTACACGTGACAGAGGCTTCAAGGACAAAATATTAATAAATATCAATAGGTAGATTAACTTCCAACGGTTGATAAAGTGTTTAGTCAAAATTAGGGAATATCTACATGGCCCAGTAGAGGGAATTCCAGCCGAAATGTATGATGATAACAAGATATGAGATCTCGACTGAAACTACCTAATAACCTTGTATAAGTAGTTACAGTTTATATTTCAGGTTTTGCGTATGCTAGACGATTCTCTGTGCTCCTTATTACACGAATGGCTCAAGCCATTGGATCCAGCTTGTCAGTTGTTGCAGGTATGTAATTGTTTGCTCTATTATGCAGTTTGTTGTCGGTCCCAATACATTTACTAAGTGGGCCAAAATAAAGTTTATGTTGAAAAACCAGGTCTAAACAGTTATTTCTAATGTTATTGTATATGTATGAAAGTTCCCGTACATTTACAGAATTTGCAAATGAAAGTTGATTTCAAAAGTACAAGGCCTCTTAATATCCATTATATATTTCATCTTTACCGTTTTCTAGGTTTGTCGTTTCTAGCAGCGGTATACAAAGACGATGCGGAGCGCTCGAAGGCTACGAGTAGAGCATTTGGTGGGATCTCGCTTGGAATAATACGTTAGTATAATTATGAAAACTGTGTATTTTAGCCTATTCCATACAGGGTCTATATAAGCCAGGATCCAAAAATAGCTTGGGGAGCAAATTCAATTGTTGAGGAGGAAATTTGTACCATAAGACTTTACGTAACCAGCTTTTCTAAACTTTTCTAAATATATGAGAAGATATATAGATAATTAATGGTTTTGAATCTGTTATTTTTTTGTACAGTGGGTTACCCTTACGGAAGTGCAGTTTACGAGTTCCTAGGAAAAGAAGCGCCGTTTTTGATTTTAGCTGGAGTCGCTGTATTGGATGGGGGTGAGTACTAAGTAGGTTAGATGCGCAGATTGGAGTGAATTTTGATATGTTTGCGCATGACATTTATGGCCAATGGATTAGATGTACATCATTCTGTCAGTTCCTTTTTAAAATTGTGGAGAGGTAGCAGAAAATAGATTGGCTAAGATCGAATTGATAATTTAAAATGTATACACTTTTAGAGGGAATAATCGGTTTTGTATCGAAATTATTCATTTGAATAAATGAAATTCAAAAAACCAAATTCAAACATTCAAATTATCAAATAACGTTGCAGCTTTATTGGCAATGGTTCTCGGCTGTTTCTCGCTTGGAGCTTGTGAGGGCAAAGGTACTGAGAAGAAAAATAAAACCGGTTTTCTTAAATTATGTATTGACCCCTACGTCGTGGTTGGTTTAGGTAAGTAATGAACTTTGACCTTTCACCTTATATAGGTGTTATTTTATATCACTAATTTCCATTTTAGAATTTTGATGTCTCGAAACGTCTAGATAAAATATGTTTGAATTTATACCGATAGACATTCATACAACTTTTCTAGAAAAGGAGGCCATGACCCAGAATCCATAGATGAGCCTACCTCAATGTAAAGCAAAGGTTCTCTTGAGGCTCATCTTTATATCGACTTAGGTTCATCTATGAATACTGGGTATACCCCTCTTCCTTTCTAGGTTGTTCTTTCATGGTTCACTTCGGGTTGGGAGTGTTCCTTGCGACAGGACCAGCTTGGATGCTTGGAGAGCTACACGCTCAGCAATGGAACATTGGGGTCGTATTGGCAGTTGCCGTGATCTTCCACTTTACTGCACAGTTTTTGACGGGTCTATTTGCTATTAAGCTAGGAAGGTATGCCTAATGAAAACCTAAACTTGATCACGACACAATATCGACCCATTTACAGCACCGATTAAAATAAGAGTAAAGAAAAAGCGTTTTCAAAACACAGGCTTTTGGAGCGGAAATGAATTTAAAACGAAACGATGCTTACACAGCCCAATTAAGTTCAATTAAATTCATACAATTGCAGTTTTGGTGTCATGTTGACTCTGAGATTATATTGAAAATATTTTTGTAAAATAATTTGGCAATTATCAACTTCAACGAAATGTCAGTATTTTTAATTTGTGTTTTAGGTGGATTTTCTGTATGGTCGGAATGTGGATTTTCTCTCTCGGTATGGCTGTGGTAAGATAATGGATCGATGCTTGCACGTTCAAATATGCAATATGAGTTACTTCGATCTGAATTTGCTCAATTCATACGTGGTATAATTGTAATTTACCGTATACCATTCATCTAAATTGAAAATGAAAATGGAATGCAATTGGTAATTTGGTGGATGTTTGTCCTTCAGTGTATTCCATTTTTTAAATGTTGATAATGCGCGTGAATTGTGTGATAAAAAGCGATTGGAAATAATTTTATGATTCGGTCAAAATCGTTATTGAAACGTTAAATATGGTAAAATATTTATATAATATAATGTACATTTAGCAATAGCTGACAACAAACATTTTTAGAATATTTCTTGTAGTATCCACTTTGCCAGAACATTTGGGAGGTCCTCGGCCCTGAAATCACCGTCCGCATCGGCCATGGTACTGTCCTCTGCGTCATCAGTCCCTTATTAGGCCACGTTGCTGACATTCGATTCGACTCCAATTATGGTGCAGTTTACGGGCTCTATACGGCATCATATAACCTTGGACTAAGCGTGGGTAAGTCAATTTAAAAACGTCATTTTGAGCACCAATATGTTATTTTGATCACCGAGAACGTCATTTTTAGCACCAAGAACGTCATTTTAGCACCATTACGTCATTGTGAGTGTACCATGACGTCATTTTTAGCAGCATTACATCATTATGAGTGTACCATGACGTCATTTATAGTACCATGACGTCATTTTTAGTACCAAGGCGTCATTTTGATCACTAAGAACGTCATTTTTAGCGCAATTGCGTCAATTTGAGCTAATGCCATGGTGCGTTAATCCAGTTGTTTCAGAATGTGTCTAACGTAAATATCTGACGATAATGATTCCGAAGAATACATTTGGATACAAATATTATAAGTGAAATATTATATTATGTCGACGACATACAATACTTTTGTACTCTTTACTTGTAGTATATATAGAACTATTTTTATTATTATTAACTTAGGTCCAGTTGTAGGGGGCGCAGTTGTCCAGTATATGACGATCGATTGGCTTTATAGAACGACGGCCATTGGAATATTTCTATTTGCTTTTCTAAGTACAACTTTCCGACATATAGAACCTAAAAACTTTAACAAGGTACATCAGTTATATTGCTTTTTCCAAACCAATATTGACAGATTGAAGTTAAAAATTATTGAGATGTGTTTCATTTTAAATTGGGCTAATTTACTTGCAGTTAACTGCCGTACAAAATTCAAATACTGCAACTCAGAAAACGTATGGATCAACAGATGCAAGAGAACAACCAGATGGTGTAAATGCTTGATGCCACTAAACAACTCTGAAATGGAGCTAGAGTATACAACGAGCCTCAGCATATTGTATTGGGGTTTATATTGGTTGATACTTTGGAGTAAATGACAAAAACAAGTGATTCCACATGATATTACGTGATAACAATGCTTGAAGATGTACAAAAATAGCAGAAACGATGCGTTGTCTAATGTTACCAACAAAATCGTATCGTCGATTGTATTGTTAAGAATTAAATTAAATTTACTCAGCACTTACAAATATATACAGTATTACTGTTAGTATATTTTTAATCAGTTTTGCATTCCGATTAGACACTGTTTGCTGACGGAGTGGCAGGCGAGACAATTGCCGTACCTTAAGTTAACTGACATTGTCTTGCCAAATGTTTAAGGAATATCTTTTTCAGACGTGTTTTCAGTTAAGAATTTAAAATGAGTCTTACATGAGTGCGCCTCATTTTAGCCTTCTAATAAACATTGAACTAGGCATTTAATAAAAGGGATTTTGATATTATGAATTTGGGTAGCAATGTTCAACTGAACTAAGAATAATTATTTTCAGCAAATTTTACTTTTCTCTGAATTGTGTATTCGGTGATGAGAAAAAGGAGACTTGGACAAAAATGTTGGAGGGAAGAAGACCTACGTGTCCTGGCAAAAATGATGGAAGAGGCTAGGCTTTAAGTGCAAGCTATGATGATTTATAATTACGTAACAACTACCTCATTATGTATCTTCTGATGATCTTGTTACGTAGAAGTAGAACAATTTGACAAATTGACTGAAATCTTTCAAAAAACAATCTTCAATATGAATAAAATCCCATTCACACCATTTGTGGTTGACAAACATATCAAATAAATTCATCGAACCCCCATAGCTATAGATAAACATATTATAATATCATGATCTTAACATTACGGTGTAGTATGTCCGGGTTACGTTAAACGCCAGTGTTAAAGTGACAATCCCTAAATAATTCAGTTCCGACTTTTGTATCCAGATGAATTCCTTGCTTTCCAGTTATATAATTTATCGAATTAATTAGAATTCGAATTTAATTCGAAAGTTCATAAATAATTTCGTGTTATATTTTATCAATCTGTCATGATATTTTTTTACAAAAAGTGACACTGTCTAGTCTTATTAATTATTATCACCAATAGACATTTCCAATAAACCCTGCCACGTTTAGGTATATCAAAGAGGGTTGGTAATATTCTAGACGTTACGTCGAAATAACTAGTTTGGACCTGGGACTCAACAAGATGGCCTCCCTTTTGGTAGCAGATTTTCGTAATCGTTTTCCGAATTAAAACCTATTTCTCGAACAGTAGGTAGATTAAGATTACTGTAAAAGTAGCAGGAATTGGACATCTCACACTGGGTTAATTATAAACAGAATGGAGTTGCCATTCCAGGTGAGTTGCTCTTAATAATGCAGATGCAAGTAGGTAGTTACCAGTTTCACCACCAGGTGACTCGTTCGGGTCAGATAGCATGGCGGGTATAGTAGAAAGTTCCCTTTAACATGTTTAACTTAAATTGCATCTGTTTTAGTGGTTCAATTTTCATATAACCCTTATGTATCTAATTGTTATGTAAATCAAAATATGTCCAGTAAATGAAAATGTTATCTTACCAATACAAGAAAAGATATTTCACTTTTTGTGATTTTGTAACAAGGGCTCTATGGGGAATCAACCCGAACTAGAAGTCACACTTTCAAAAACAATTAAATTTTTAAACTTGATAAACAATTTTCGAAACCATATTTCTAGATGTGCTTTTACATGTAGATTTCAAATATAACATCGCTTTGACTGAATTTTGAATATTTAATGGCGTAAATCAAGATTTTTCTACTCGCAGCTAGTCTATTGCTAATAATTATACATCTAGTAAATAAATATAGTTCATATTGAAATCCTAGACTTCCATACATATTACAGATGAGTACAAAACTAATAAAATCACTCACACTGACAATAAGACATTAATGACCTAATTGACATATCCTCGGTTGAGAGTATTCATTATCATATGTCAATTTCTTATTGGTTTAATGAATAGGTTGACGAATTGAATTTGCCACGAGGATCAATTGGAGACCACATAAAATACATATGGACACGCAAGGTTATGTAAATCAGGTAGGACTGTCGTATATCAAATTTTGCACATTTTTGCCAACGAGAATACTCCTTCAGATGGGCTAGAATGGATAGGGACGGCGTGATAGTAAGTTACTTAAACTTGTTACATTAGAGAGGATAGGTTACACGTATTTGAAAGAACTTGAACGTAAACGTTTAATATTCATCCTTGCTGCAAGGGTATTTTACAAGTATATTTTAGGCATAAATGAAGTCCTTTATTTATTTATTTATGTTTATTTTATCCACCAGAATTGGTGTGTTTACATGTGTTATATAAAATATTACATAAGGGGTTGAGATTATTATGTTACATACAGTAATAAAAAAACAATTAAAATGTTTATGTACAACCAATCCCTGGTGTTGACGGACGTCAGGCTACCGCGTTGACGCCGTCAAGTCACTACTATCTGTTACATGCAATAAGAAAAACAAGTTCTCCACCTAATATTTGCTGTTGACGGACGTCAGGCTACCGCGTTGACGCCGTCAGTTAACCTACACTTTACCTATTACCCTTTAGCTACAATATGATATTGTCCACCTATCATTTATCAAACCAAATCTCATTAAAAATTATGGTTAACTAATCAAAAATTTACATTTGGTCTTGCCTCATACATTCCATAAATTGACAGAGCTATCTTAATATATTGATCCTCTGTCAGTACATTATTTTCGCCAAATAAAATCTTACCTTTGAAGAAGGATGTTTAATATTATGACCCCTAGGAATTGTTGTCCAATTCTCAATTGGTTTGAAGAGGGACCTTATTACAATTATTTTCTTCATATTCAATTTGAAAAATAAGGGCCAGAGAGGGGGGAAAGCTTACAAGGGACCATCATTTTACACGTTTCAAGTACATGTAACGATATCGAGGTGAACTTACAAGCATAAAGAAATGTAAATGGTTCCTGGTAAAAACTGTCGAGGGGGGTAATGAACATGTTTAAGTAGATATATCTGAAAACGTATCTTATTCTTAACCCCGTTTATATTTCGTTTTCAGACTTTTAGAAACAACACAGAGCAAAAGGTTCATTTGTTCAACTTCAATATGGATTGGCAATATCGGTATCGTATTAATATTACCACTTTTGATGCAACCTTGATATATTAACAAAAAACATAGTGTAAAGAGTTTGTTGTTTTATTTCTAGACACAAATCATGCTTTTAATTTATACAAAGTTACGATCTTATACATATGTTGTTAGAGAATAGTCATGCGTATTTCCTATTTCTGTTAATATTCATTTCAATCTCTGAACTGCAACGATGTAAGTACAGTAAAGGTAAAACATGTTTAAAACTCATTTTAAAGTCAAGAAATCGAGAGATTAAGTTATGTTTTAATTATTCTACTTGTGTGTATTTATTTTAAACTTTTAACTGCAATTTATGTGTGTATGCATATCTGCGTTATGTTGTTGGTTCATATCTGCTTTCGTTACCCAACTGTATAACTTACTGTATATTTCACTGGTGGATCCAGAGGGGGAAAATTTGGGGCCAAAATTTTGCCTCAATTAGTGGGTCTTTTGGGCATTACTTGGCCTTATGGGATTTTTATGCCAAATTATCCAAAAATGGCCTTTGATTTTCTAAATGTGGGCCCAATTTTGGGATTTTGGTGCCAATTTTTCTGATTTGAAATGTGCGCCCCCCACCCGTGTTAGTTTCTGGTTAGCTTCTGGATCTGACAGAGAATCTTTACCAATACTGTATGCTTCTAAGAGAAGACTGTATGCTCCTAGCAGATAAATATATAATTCTTATATTATCTCTAGCGTGCTTGTAGAAGATTGTATGCTTCTACTTTCAAATAATATGTTGAAATTAAATGACTCAAATGTTCAAGATTTCCATTTGCAGTTCATTATTTTAATAATTACAACACTTACATCTCATCTGAGTTCAGATAATTTCTAAAATAAACTTAGTTTGCGTTTCTGATGTGTTTTAAACATATGATAATATCAATGATCGATGAATAAATAAACAAAATAAATTATAACAATATTGTAACATTAATAACAATTAACCAAGTTGGTCGATATTTATAGAACAACTATATTATATATGTTTTAGCACTGTATTCGATACTATGATATGTATTAAAATAATAGGAAATATGATATTATTATAGATATCGATCTGGATGGTAAGTAATTATAAAAAATTATTGACCGTAATGAAAAAGAATCAAAATTGATGAATAGATTCAATATTTTATTTATTTCAAGCCAAAACAATTGACTTCCTCACAAAATCAATTACAGGACATAATTTTACAGTTATACAGTAAAATGCATTGTTTAATAAATACTTAAATATCACTATCTGACAAAACTGGTTTATTCCTCTTTCAAATAGCTCCCGACGTTGATTGAAAAGTTTATCTATTTACAATTTTAAAATCATCTGAAATTTAATATAGTTAAGTATTAAGTCATATTTATTGTAATTATGTAAGAATTGTATACAATAAAAAAATGTCGAGTACAAAACGTACTTATTAATGCTTTAAATACTACAAAAGATAATATATCTATCGGTCTATCACTTACAGAATTCTGCACCGATGTGTGTAAGGAATTTCCAAGTGGTGGCCATTTCGCGTACCCTGGCAACTGCTGCAAGTACATCCAATGTAAAGAACTTGGCTACGAGTTTAAAGGATATAATGAAACTTGTATGTACCCATTGGTGTGGAATGATGCACGGTCGGCATGTGACTTTGCATTCAGAGTTCCCGGATGTGACGAATCGTGCCACGGTAATTAATTTTTGTAATAGCTTTTCATACGTAGCATTCGCGAATTCATTTGCCGATTGACGGTTTAACCTACTTTTATGGCCAATTTATTAAAATATGAATAGTACCTGCCATTCCATTCATATCTAAATGAGTTGGCAATAAATAGTAGGTTAAGCTGCCATTTGAATTCGCGAATTCTCACATCGTTCTCAAAAACGGGCTCAAACTTTGTACGAACGGATTTTGAATGTTTGGGGTCTATTTACAAATTTCATGAACATACTCGACCGTTAAAATCATGATTAAAATTGTCTGGTGGTCGTCACGTTCTGCAATATAAAACAAATTAAAACTTACTTCGGGCAGCTAGACTGGAATTGTCGCACTTCAAACCTACTAGGCTAGGATCTCAAAAACAACATATGAACAAAAAATTTACATATTGAACTGTAGATATGAAAACTTTGTGGTAATTCCTATCACACTATTCATAAAATAACAACAGAAAATAATAACAGTACAATGTATAATAATTTTTTGTTTTTTAAAATACAACAGTCAACAAATCAAACAAATATCTTAAAACTTTCAGTGACTAGTCCGCTGTAGATGACATTTCTGAAGCGCACGATCATGATACATTGAATACATACATGCACATAGATTCTCTCTCGTATAAAATGACATGTTTAAAAGACATAAATGTAATAAATGTCTATCAACACAGATAAGAATACAGGGGTATTTTATCTTTTCTATTCACATTTGTCGGTGTACAATATCAGCTTTCAAATGCGACACGTAGGCAACCAGAATTCCTCTTGTACACTTGTTAAAACAAGAGGATGAATATCCCAGAATTCATAGGTGAACTTACCACCATGCATAGATGACCATCTAGTGGTTCATCTTTAGGTGGAGGTTTGTCATTGAATTAGGGGGAAGACCCCTCTTCGTTAAAACATCTTCAGTTTGGCGATTTTAATTAATAAACACTTCATATTTGTTGTGAATTCTCAATTAAAATCAGGAGCAAAATAGACATCCTTTTAAAATCAGGTCATCTGATGTTCACTGCGGTCATGTAATTTATTAAAAGGGACGTTTCCATGGTATCAGTAATTACCACCATCGGTAAATGGCAATTATAATGGTAGAAAGGAGAGAGAGATAATATTGAAAATGGCTACAATAATTGTAAAATGGTAACAATAACAGTAAAATGGTCAGAATAGTAAAAAATGGTAACAATAATGATAAAGCTGTTACAAATATAGTAAATGGTACAATAATTCTAAAGCGATAGCGGTAATAATAATGGAAAATGGTAACACTCGTGGAAGCTGGTAACAACAAAAGTGTCTATATTTCAGTGAATGGAGTTGAATGGGCGCCTCCAGCTGCTGGTGCCTTTGACCCTGCAAGTAAGTCAACTTATAGCAAATGAAAAATTACAAAGGAAAACAGTTGAATAGTTTGAACAGATAAACTGATTATTCAGTAATTTTCCCATAAATCAAACAGCATTTTATCAAAGGGAGTAGACTTGCTTCTTATGAGCGAGACAGTATTCTAGTCCATGAACAGGTACTGGGATTTGACCAATCAGCGATTAGGGTCCTCTCTGTATAAATATCCATTGAAATCGAGGCCATCTTTGAACTCTGGGGGTTTCCTTCTCTCTTACAGTATATTTTTAGAATGGCGTCATCTATAAATTTGTTCTTCAGCTGAATGTGTACGCTATGGTAAGATCTACACTGTACATCCTGATAATGAACAGTGGTATTACGTGGACCAGATTGGGATTGATCCCAACAACTCAAGGCATGCATCGTGTCCTCCAAACTTCGTCTTCGACTTGGATGAATGCCTCTGCGTTGGCCAAAATGGTGCGTAAATAACATGTCTCTATAATTAATGAATGCCTCTGCGTTGGCCAAAATGATGCGTAAATAATATGTCTCTAAAATTAATGAATGCCTCTGCGTTGGCCAAAATGATGCGTAAATAACATGTCTCTAAAATTAATGAATGCCTCTCCGTTGGCCAAAATGATGCGTAAATAACATGTCTCTATAATTAACGAATGCCTCTGCGTTGGCCAAAGTCGGTGCGTAAATAACATGTCTCTATAATTAACGAATGTCTCTGCGTTGGCCAAAATGATGCGTAAATAACATGTCTATAATTAATGAGTGCCTCTGCGTTGGCCAAAATGGTGCGTACATAACATGTCTCTAAAATTAATAAATGCCTCTGCGTTGGCAAAAATGATGCGTAAAAACATGTCTATAATTAATGAATGCCTCTGCGTTGGCCAAAATGGTGCGTACATAACATGTCTCTAAAATTAATGCTTGCCCCTGCGTTGGCCAAAATGGTGCGTATATACATGTCTCTAAAATTAATGAATGCCTCTTCGTTGGCCAAAATGGTACGCACATAACATGTCTCTAAAAATTGCCGATACACAGTTCCATCTTGACACTACAGTATACTTTTGTGTTCAGCACATCGTATATGTTACTCTACCGATCCAAGCGGCTGTATATACATGTGTGGCATAGTGACAAAAAAGTTCTTGTATTCGTTCCTGTGCAAGCAGTACGTCCATTCTATATTAGCTGAACTAATCCTTTGCCTTTTGTACTCCAGACCCTTGGCCGTGTAATTGTATTATGTGCGTGCCTTTTGAGTTGAATATGGTGAGGGACATCGTCAACAGGAACCACGTGAAGCACACAGGTGTTAGGATATCATCTTATGCAGCACAAGACGTTGCATCAGAACCTGGTCATTTCGGATGTTTAAGTGGAAGGTAAGAGCAGTTTTGTTAATGTCAATATTGTATGAAGTATTACCTGTTAATAAAAGGAAGGGTCATCATAAGTCATTTAATCAATTATGAGAATACATCTTTGGTCTTTGTCCAATGGTCAGAATATTGTTGAAAATACATTTTACAAACTTTCTTTATGTACCTGTACATGTACCACAAACGCAAATATTTGATAAACGTGTATATAAAATACATTTTTCATCATTATGTTTGTTTAATCATGTCCTGTTTGCTATTTTAGTGAGAGTTTCCTGGAAATCCCAGTGTTTTCCGATATGTTTTATGGCCCTGCGTTCTCCGGCAATTTCTTTTATTACCCTACCATACCGGGTGTGGCACAGAACGACCCAATCAACATCCCAGGGAAAATGGGACTTTTCTCAAACGGCTGTTGCAACGAGTCTGCCTCCATTGCAATTTGGTTGGAGGGTTCTAATGCATATATCACGTTTAGAACAGAAGGGGGATCATTGGTGAATCATAGGTTCCAGGATGGGGTAAGTGTCCTTATATGGACTTGCTCTATAACTTCGAAATCTCGTTGAAAATATCCCCTATGAACCCTAAACGATTATTAACCATAAGTAAAACCCCTATAACCGGCCTAAAAATCGGTATTTTTATTTGAATCATTGAGCACCTTTGATGATTGATCCTCCATTTACATCGTTTAATAATATCTGTTTTAGGATACTCTGCAGGATGAAATCATTTACAATAGACAGTTTGGTGAAATTACATTTGTATATGGAGCTCCAAATCTGACCCTGTGTATCAACGGAAAGACATGCGTATCCATTGATACAACTTTGACTCCTTTGGGAGGTTTGTTGCTTTAGCTCTCGATCTACACTCACTTATCATTAAGCCAAACATACACCAATGGGGCATAGTGGGACTTTAATGATTTAACATTGCATGGGACAACATGAAACTCCATGGAATTTCCCCCATGGATTCCGTCTGACTCCATGGCATTTTTCATTTTTGGAACTTTGTCCCATCGAGTTCTACGAGGTCCCATGGACTCGATGGGGCAAGATGTGGCAAAACCCACGAAGTCCCATCGAAAATGAACATGTTCATTCTATCCACGGTACATCTTGTGACGTGTCAGGTGACTCGGGATCAAAATAGCCGCGGCAAATCCTTTCAACTAAATATAACATCATTTCTTTGGGACTTGACGTGGCATATTTGATTGGACTCGATGGGGCAAAGTCAACAAGATCACGTGGGACTCCGTGGGATTCGAGGGGGCACGTTGGGCTTCGATGAGGCAAGTGGGATTCGATGGGGCAATTGGGATATTGTCCCATTGGTGTATATTGGGCTGTGTATTTGGGCGAGGGTATTATTACTTGCTCTTTGGCTACTGTTCCACTAACTGTGGAGCTTTTAAGCTTGTTTCATTCGTTTTATTGTTTTTGAGTTTGTTGCATAATCGGTTGTATTCGAAATCGTATTGTATTGACTCTTTTGCTTCTCTTCCAAATTAGTACCGTGTGCAGTAGTACCTCGGAAACAGCAAATCATGATTTCGTAAATTGCTAGCAAATTGGTAAAATGTTTCAAGTTGAAATAAATGCAAGTCACAACTATATATGGTATTTTGTTTATCTATTTAATGGAAAATTAACCCCGATTTTAATAAAAATGACCTTTCTGTCACTAGGTGATGTGTTGAGCACCGATTGCGCATTGAAGATTGGACAGCTAAATGATGAGGAAGGTACAAGCTTTAATGGATGTGTGGACAATGTACGTATCTAAGAGTCTTTTGACCTGCGGAATTCTACCTTAGGTTAAATCATGCAGGTTAAATCAGGTTAGGTCAAAGCATGCATACGGTGACAGGCGGTAATGAAACATTTTAGTGAGTTGTTCCTGCGTTAATCTTCTACAGCGTTAATGTTCTACTTTAATATTCAAATAAAATTTATTCTGATTGAGTTTAGTGTTAAACTGTATAAATCTCAACTTGTCATTTTTATTGAATGAAAATGATAACCATTGATTCAGCCATAATCCGTATAACAGCTGCTGTTGTGCTCTAGATAATAGGGAGTTTAAGCATGCAATATTCTCACAACCTGAACGTGATTGAAAGTTATTTAACCAATGCATTTGTATGGCCGATTGGTAATACGTATAGATTGACGTTTCGATTTTATATGTAAGCTTAAAATCCCTAATGTCTAAATTTTAAGCGGTTTGTCACGGATCGTTATTAAAAATGCAACTATAATCCATGGCGTTCCTACATCCTCCGATCGCAGGGCTTCAAAATCCAAAATATATTCTTTCTTTTTACCCCCTGCGATAAGCAGTTAGCCTTTCCCCGATTAAGAACTCGCAATCTGATTGGCTGTCGCAACACTGCGACAGAAATCATGTATAAGTCATTGCGCATAATGACATCACGTGATTCAATTTAATCGGGCGCTTCCAAATTGGTTATAGCAGGGGGAAGAAGGAGGTACGGATTCTGGATACCTGCTTAGGAGGATGCGTTCCTACGACTCTACAACTTCGGCTCATCTCACTCCTTTATCTCGCTGAAGTGTTATCTAATTGTCAATTTCACTTTTGTTTTTCAGATTTCCGTATGTGCCGATGAGTGGGATGACGAACAAATCTACCAAGTACGAAGATACAATGAGACAGCTGTTATGTGTCACTCTCAAGACGATGATTTCGGTGCACCAGGCGCCGATTCCCTCCCCCCTCTGCCCGGCCTCCCCCCTCTGCCCGGCCTCCCCCCTCTGCTACCCCCTCCCTTTTAATTATAGTAAAAATTCAAAAAATTGACATTTGATTAAACGTATCTTAGTATCAATCAAAACCATTTATTCATGTTTACAATTAGCTCTTAAATAGTTAGACTTACTTATGTCGTATTTTGAACATTTGGTACATTTTGTCAAATCTAAACAATCAATGCATTTATAGATTGAGCCATATTTGAAATATGTTTAATGAATACTTAACAAACCTAATTAACTTATTTAAGACTGTTTGGATAATATTGTACTGTACTGACCCTATGTGTACAATATAATGTTGAATATCACAATGGTATTTTGCCACATATGGAATATTTTCATATTTGGAATTATACCATATATGGACTTATGTGTATATGGAATACATGCCCCTTCTTACAAAGTCATCTGATCATTCCTGTCCCACACCAAGAAGGCGTTTATATCACATACACTATATAAGGCCAAATATTACAAACGAGCAAACAATCCAGTATTTCCTAATCCCCATACCACCGGGGCCCGTACCACGACTGTACTATCATCCCGGGTCCTGAGAACCAAAGATGGACGTAAAAAGAAAACATTGACCTATCTCTTTACAAGAAGAGTTCAAATTTTATTTGTAATTTCCGACACTTTGAAATAAATTTTCGAAATGATATTTTTCTTGTTGAGTACCAATTTCTTGTTATATATTGCTAGTAGCATTTAGGTGTCTAGATTATACATATGCTCGTGTTTCCCATTTCTCGTTCTTGGTCTCTAGTAGCATTTGGGGGCCTCACATGCTTGTGTTTGCATTGGGCATTGTTGGCTGTTCCAACTGCTTCTTGTTTGTGTTCCCGTCAAGTTGCTCTCATAGGCCATCTCCATGGCAGCGATGTTGGGTCTGACGAGGTAAAGACCGTACTCAATAGACGTCAAGGCAACCACACCTTACATTACAATCAAAAAGAAAAGTATGTAATACTAGATTTTTATCATATTTCAAGTTTCAAGTTTTTTTCGTAACAAATTTCAGATTACGAACTTACGAGATATTTATATATCTTCATCCGGTAAACTCATCAAAAGTATTTAAAACAAACAAATTGTTCAAGATACATTTTTAAGTTTGCTCGTGAGAACGTAATATTTAAAAAATTATTTTGAGAGAGATGTCGATTGTTTTCTATATTCGGTCGGAATCAAGAATACCATATCATTTTTAGTAATATTTTTTATCGAAAAGGTCCGTATTTGCGTTACGTTTGGAGTATTAAGTTCACGCTTGCTCTTACCGGAGGCAAAGTAAGGGTAGTTGCTCCATGTCCCGTAGAAATCCGCTCCTGCCCCTGGGTACACGTCAAAGTGGCCTACCTCAGTCAGGGTATAGGCATTCTGTAGGAATATAAAATAATTTCTCGAGATTAATGTTTATTGCGATGTGTATTTTCAATGTTGCGCTTGGTGATAAGGATAACGGATGTGTTAAGGGTAAATTAGTTGGATTCTGGCATTACAATCACGGTGTACATTTTATAGCTGACCTCGGGATCGGTCAACAGTTGTATTTCTGAAAGTAACTTTCCCCAGCGAACTGCATCATGGGAAATATTTTAACCTTATAAGGAAATAATATCGCGCCTCCTTGGCCGGAGAATTCTCTCACCTGATCAACTCTTAAAATCCTCAGTCCAGATTCATAGTTAGACTGGTAGGTAAGATCGCCTACAATGTATTGGTTATGATCTATGGAGATCTGGTTTGAGACATGGGTACTTTTCAGAACAGGATTACTCAATGTGCTCACGTCCCAGACGTAAGTTCGTGTATTTCTGTAGAAAATATGGAATTAAAATTGAAACATGCAATGATGATTGACACATAGAATGGACCAACATATAAAGCACTGCTACGTATGTCAATAATCGTTTATGTATTACGCATACATTACTTACTGACTTCCTGCAGTGGAGTAATACTCGTCAGTTTCATCGTCGAGTAGAACGGTTGTGTGATCCTCTGTCACCCAGCCCTTGAAGGGATGCATCCATGAATGATAAAAGCTGACTATGACGTTCGAAACGTTTTCAATATTGATCATAATTTGATTGGCGTTTCTTACGAGTTTCCGATTTTCAATAAAATTATTTTATTTTCAATAACAATATCCCGGTGAGTATAGTCAAGTTTTGATATGTGACTATGATTCTCATTAAAAAGTTTTCGAAACTTCAAGCTGATAATTAAGGTAATTGATAAGTCTACCTGGTGTGTGTAGCTGAAGTTTGGATATGTGACTTTACTGATCAAGGACGGGGATGCTTTGTTTGTGACATCAACAATCGTCAAACTATCTTCATTATAAGCGAAGCACACCTCTCGACCAACATAGCTGGATTCAAAGTAATAAAATAGCAATGAATATATTTACAGTTCTAAAATTAATGTCCCTACAATAAAAAGAGATTTTGAATGAAGCTTATTTCTTAGGGAAGATAATGTTAAATTTGAGAAGTTATCTCCCCCGATTGATTGTATTTTTTATCATCATTAATGATTAATGGAACATAAAGGTCATAGGATCGAGCCTTGGAGTACCCTTGCTATAATAGCGCCAATATGGATTTCCTCGCTGGTGTGAGAAGGTCAGTCCCCCTGATGAGGGTCAAACCCATGATCCCTCGATTTCCAGATGGGCACTCTAACACGAACGTAATGCTGCCCAGTAAAGCCATAAGAATACCCAATCAAAAGCTTTCGAAATATCTATGTACATACTTGACATCTGGACCATTGTAGTTCACACATTGTGCATCATGAGTGTACCCATCGGCAGAATAGCAGCCAGCAAAGAATGGATCAGCTGGGTTTGTCGCATCGATGAAATGCAAACCAGCTGGAAACGATCATGGTGGTTTTCTAAGTTGAAATTCAGAATCCACCGTGGAACCGAACGATGAGTAAATGTGGAGATGCCGACGTGAAATGCCCCAGCAACCCTTCGATTTGCTATTCAACGTTACATATCATCATATATATACCATGTACAATATAAATTTTAGTTTAGCTATAAAATATCGAGAAAAGAGCACGTAAGGTATGGCAAGCCATTTTCAAAGGGCTATATCTTTAGTTCGAAGAATAAGTTAACCACAAAATCAAATGGTTCTGTTAGATCCATGTCTTATCTTCAATAAATGACATAAGGATGATAATCAAGTTGATTGAATTATCTCTTAAGCTGTCCCTAATCCACCCATCCTCACCAATTTTCCCTAATTCAGATGCAATTTTCACCAAAAGTGCGGAGGCCTCATTATCCGGTCGACGCACCGCAAATCGCAATCGCAACGTAAATATTTAGCGAATCGTACGCAAAACGATATTATGAGGTCATCTCAAAGGCACTCTAGCGCAAATTCATTGCCGTTTTGCGTCTTTAGCGCAAATCGCAGTTTTCTTATTACACGGTAGACGCATCGCTATTTTCATTTCGCATCGCAAATACACTGCTAACCGCACGCAAATTGGTATTATGCAGTCATCGCACAGTTGCGTCCACGTAAATCAGTTGATTTTTATGTCGCAAACTCCACTTTATTTGCGGCATCCCTGACCCTGCCGCAATATAAATCGCAAACATATCATCAAGAATCTTGATAGTTTTCCTATTTAAATTAACATTATCGTTGTAGAAATCTAGGAAGTGCCCTTTGAGACATCCAACTAAAAATAGGTTGAAAAACATTAGAGACACAAATAACCAAAACTTATCAAAATCAAGTCTGAAAGTGCACGATTATGCTACCTTGGTTTTGTGAAATCTATAATAAATATCGCAATTCCATTTCGCAAATATCGTCTGCTAGGGTTCGATCAAGCTGGAAAATGTGGCGCATATTATTCCACGATGTTCACAACAGAAGAGGTTTACGCTTATTCAGAGACAGGAGTCAGCCGTTAGAGATGACTGACGATGAGATATTAAACAGATATCGCATGCTGAGGCCACTCATTCTTGAGTTGATTAATATATTAGATGGGGATCTAGCGTCAAGAACAAGGAATCCTCAGGCAATTCCATGTCAGCTAAAAGTATTCATTTCATTACGATTTTATGCTACAGGTTGTATGCAAATGATAAATGGAGATATATTCGGGGTATCCCAACCTACTGTTTCGAACATTGTTGCTGAGGTATCGGCGGTTTTCTCTAGGTAGGCTATATCAGTCGGACTAATTACAAAGACACCGTGTCTTGTTTTCAAGATGGGCTGCCTTCCAGTGACAGATCTAGATTTTCGCAAGATATATAGGTTATGTAGTGGGAGGGATTCAATATGGGTTTTATTATGATGGACAAAATGATATTTACCGAGAGCCCGGAGGGTCAGAGGGAAATACCAAATTGTCCCTCACAATATGTGAAATATCAAATTGTCATGAGGAATAAACCCATATTTAATCCCGACCAGTAAATTAGCTTTTTATTCCATGATATTCATAACTGTCTTCATAAAATCATTAGTTAGATTTTTCTATGAAAAAATGGTATATTTAATCAAAAAAATATGACTTAGCTTTATGATATTTTTAAATATAAAAAAATTATTGTACATGTGTAACATAAACACATCAACATCAAAACATTCAGCAATACGCAAGCATTTTTGTCTGTGTCAGAGCGATGATGATAAAACTGGAATTCGTTTTTCACATAAGAACATCATTTTAGCATGCTATATCGACCCAACTGATTGAAAGAGGAAGCTTTGTTTGGCAAAAATTTTCAATACGATTTTTTTCTCAATATCAAAAATATTCCCGGTTATTCATCGGGAATTAGTAGTATCATGGGATAAATAGAGATTATCCTATATGAGGTTCAGGATATTGAACTATAGGATGATCTGTTTATCCCATACCGATCTTGGTCATTTTGTTCACGCTGTTCAATTGGCCGGAGTTCAGAAAATGTCCAACAAACCGTAAGAATTCATTTAGAATAGCCTGATTTTCAGATATTCATCCACATTTATTTAATCCCAATATCATGAACCGACTATAGGATGATCTGTTTATCCCATACCAATCTTGGTCATTTTGTTCACGCTGTTCAATTGGCCGGAGTTCAGAAAATGTCCAACCAACCGTAAGAATTCATTTAGAATAGCCTGATTTTCAGATATTCATCCACATTTATTTCTGAAATCCTTGTTTAACAGGGATACGCTCATTTCCTTCCTTTAAACAGATCGCGATTGTCTGCCTTTTCTCCATTAACGTTTACAGTAATTATGCGCATGTTACAAAAATGAACCAATATCAACGGCGATTATGACGTCAGCGGGCAGATATACTATATCTGCCCGCTCAGAGCGGGACGTATAGCTATATCTGACCGCTGATAGAAATATATAGAGGTTATTTAATGGGAGGTTTTTGATACAGGGTATATCTGAGGGAAATACAATATATCAACCCGAGAGACCGTAGGTACCGAGGGTTGATATATTGTATTTACCGAAGAATATACCCTGTATCAAAAAGCGAGCATTTAATAACTGATTTATTCTATACTTAGTAGATTGTGAGGAATAATAGCAAAGTCCCCTGGCTCAGTATCTACTCCCTGAATTTATGACGTCGTAGATCTGCTGAGCGGGAGATATATATATCTCCCGCTCACGTCACATATCAGTTATATTCCCGCATGTTATATACCTATAACACTACTAAGTATGGAATAAAAGTTTTTACAAACCAGCTTTATGTACCTATAACACGTCCAAGTATGGGATAAATATTTTTACATCCTTGAGATTTAAATGGATAAAACTAATTATACCATACTTGGGCGTGTTTCAGCGTGTTTCTGACCGGGCTAATATATTAAGTCAAGTATACACCAATGGGGCAAAAATCCCACTTGCCCCATTGAGTTCCAACTTTCCCATCGAATAACAACGGTGTTCCATGGGAACTTGATGACTTTGCCCCATTGAGTCCCCATCATGCCCAATCAAGCCCTACGGAGTCCCATCAAATCCCACCTTGGCTCATTGGTATACGTCGAATTTTGCCCCATCGAATCCCACCTGGTCCCACGCGGTACCTCATGGGACTCGATGAGGCAAGATGGGGCAAAATCAGAGTCCAATGAAGCCCTCATGGACCTCACGGACCTCATGGAGCAAAATCCCAATAGGTCTATTTTGAGCTCTAAGTTTAAATTTCCCGCGTTTCCAATTTATTTGCGATTAGCATACTGTTGCGTCTGCGTTTGCGTGAAGCGCGTAATACGACGCAAACCATGATTTGCGCTTGCGAATAATGTTGATTCGCAAGCGCAACGCAAATCGCAACGCTAATTTAGCGCTGACCGGATAATGAGGGCTCGGGCCTTTTTAATAATTTTTAGTGCAAAGTTGTATTGAACTTTAAGACATGATTTAAACTGTAAAGGGGAAAAGTTAATTGTAAACCTACTTTTTGATATTTTTTTCGTAATTTTTTCGTATTTTTTCTGATTTTTTAAAGTGCTTCATACTAATATTATACAATTACAAAATAGAGGGCAGCTAAGTGCCATAAATGATTTGTTTTTTTACACTGTTTCAAACACTCAGATAGTGACTTACTCAGCGTTATGGATTATAATCCTGTATTTAACCTTGTATTGTTTGTGTATAAAACAGTTGTGTCATTCACGTAGAGCTATTTATATACTGAATAGTTCTTTGTAATTACATGTGCCTGGTTTTGGCTATTCAACCTAGATTCTTTGTTAGCAGCTGGGCAGCCAAACCCAGAAATCAATTGTCGCGGTGATTCGGCATTAACCTGAAAACTACGCGAAAATCGTGCTTTTCTACAGAATATAGTCCCGCCTCCAAAAATCATATAAAATGACACCTGTGCATAAATTGACTTTTAATATCGATAAACGTAATGGTTTTGGCCGATATTTCGGGAAACGTTTGGAGATATCGGTATGTAACTATATTTCACGAATAATAAGCAAAATAAGGTATGGTGGGTGAGAAAGAAGACCTCAAATAGAAAAGTTTTGAAACTGGGTTTCGATAATTTTGAAAATTGGGGTCGTATACATGTTTTGGGCATTTTTTTCTGAGATTAGTTATTTATGTGATTTAAGTACAAAACGAACCCCCCTTAACTCGCGGACGTGATTTGAACGTTTTATTGCCCATTCTCATATATTTCTCGAGTTATCAGCCACTTAGTCAGCAGTTATTGATTTTCAGAAAAAAATGTTAATTCTCAGGGATCGATTTTGACATGGTCCCCTGAAGTTGTAAACACTCAATCTCGGATGAAACCCGTAGTTAGCCGATACAAAATAACCAGTAGATGATAAAATTGACGTATAGTTCCCAATTCCCGCATTAAGTTTTTGTTGGGAATTGATTTCTTCACGTCGAAAAAAATATGTGATTAGAAAATCAGCTAAATGACAAAAACAATTCTGAGGAAACATTAGTTCAGAATGTTTTGGGCAAATTTTTTTCTTATAGATCTGTGGTTAAAAATCTATTGATAAATAAAAAGTAGTCTAAAATACATATGGTGTCTAAATATAAAAATGCCTGGATAAGTACTTTTGTCAGGAGACTTGAATCAATTGCGGTCCAGTCATATTGTCGTGTCAAAATTACCCAAAATGGTGAAGCCCTGGTATTTGAAGAGGGTCGTCTTCGGACTCGAAGTTTTCAGTATTTTTAGCCTTTTAGCAACTAATTCTTGAATTCAACGTATGCGTATGATCTAAATACGCATAAGTCAGCCGTATTGTGCATCAATTCGAAGTTCTTATGGCAATTTGAAGCCATCATCTGGAGCGGTTTCTACTCTTGAATCCGCCAAATTGCTGAA